CACTTATTCATTTAGCAATTAATGCAGTGACATTGATATAAAGGATAGGTGTGACGATTACTTTTGATGTTAGGACACCAAAGTTAAGTGTACTGTGAATTGTATTGGATATTATCGTTTTATTTTGGCAGTTTCATTCAGACCTACTGGAAATTGTGTATAGTAGTTGTATTGTGGTGATAATAATTATGGAGAGGCAGGTACCTATGCTATTTTTTTGTCGAGACGCAATCTATCCCTTTTTTTGGGTAAAAGATGAAGAAGGAGCAGGTAAGTAAGTAAGTATGGAAGGTGGTATCGTTGACTAGGTCTATACACTTCTCAATTGACTATTACTCTCTCCACTGTAGGCTACTTAAAATCAGTGTGCGTCTGTGAGAAACGGCTGCAAATCTCACTTCAACGCTTTTCACATCGTAAAAACTGCAGAATTGCTGTTTTATTGTAAAATTATCGGATTTAAAATGCATATCGTATAGGCCTATGATGGAATAAAAAAATATTTGGTCACACAACATTTGTTTACAAGATGATTTTTCACATTAAAACTGCAAGAAACTTTGACTTTATGTGTAAACTAGCTGATCTGAATTGTACACGGTTTTAACTGACTACTGAATTCCCGTACGTAGGACGGGCTAACACCTCGTATAAGTTAAATGTAAGTGTTTTTAGGGAACAAGTATTTTATGTAGAGAAAGTTGTGTTCAGTATACAGCTCAGGGTCCCCACGTTAACCAACAACAAAATAGTTCGGATATTTTTTTGGATTATAACCTTTAGCTTCAAGGACCAAAACCCTGAACTTAAACTAAACAATCTGTGTCCTAAATTACTTTAAGTGCTTAACAACAACGTTACACTTTACTATTTATGTTATGATGATGATTACCTAATGTAACACTTTAAAAACACTGTCCTTCCTTGAAGAATACCGGCCTATACATAACATCCAGCCATCGTATCATCTGTTTGTTTACAAAGCTCTATTTTAAGACCGTACGATTATAAATAAAGCGAGCCAGGTGGTGTGGAAAGTCCAGTAATCGCCAAAGGCTAAACTATCTGACCTAAGCCATCTCCAAGCTCAGTATGTTTGTTGTCTAGACTTAGAGTTATATAAACACATTGTAAAATGTGTTACGAATTCTTTCTTGCTGTTAAACACTATGTTATGCTTATCGATGAAGTAAATATTATTTAACACTGTACAGGAATATTAAACTGCAGTGAAATACACATAAAAATCGACATAAATTCTACGTCTTAAGGAAATCGTAAGCTATGGCATAATTATTTTCAGAATGAAATATGACATGAAACTAAAAAATATCCCGGCACAGCAAACCTCCAGACTGAGCAAGTTTTCATTTCCTGATTAGAATTTTACTAAAATATTTCCTTAAACTTGTCAGCTTTTTTTTACCTATTTAAATAACACTAGCAGACCGTCGTGGCTTTGCCTTGGCCATTTTTTATTTCAAAAGATCAATATTTTGTCCCTGTGAAATTAATAGGAAAACTACGGATATTATATGAAAATAAAATGTATTTGTATTAAAACCATTTACAGGCTATATATGATCACCAAAGTTGGTTAAACGTATGTATGTGGCTACTGAATGTAATCACAACCAAAGCCACTTTTACCAACATATTTCTTAAATCACAATAGGTCAGATAATATTTATTAGGGCTTTTAAGGTTTGGACTATTCACTCTGGAAGAACATACGTGATGTTTTTGACCAGAATACTATTTTTGCTTTTTCTCCTTTCACTTAGAATTACCGCCTAAACCTAATTTGCTAACAGTAAATTAAATCCTTGGATAACTTTATTGACAAGTATTAGATATCTTTAAGTATCATTAACAATTAACAAAATCTTAATTTACGTGAGTATGTTTCTCTGATGCATTTAAAACATTTCTTGAATACTACTTTTACATGGCTCTGTCAAATAGTACTGGCAAACCTGGCACGATGTTTTCTTATGGTTCTTTAACCCTAAAAGGTCCTAAAGAGTTGTAGGTGTACATAATTTATGATGTTTTATACATACATAATAGCTATATTTTGAACTGCATGACTAATATTGCAAACACATAAAAGTCAATACAGTATAACAGTTCCGGGACTATACCAATGAATTTTAATAATTACTAGTGTACATGTTGCTCGAATTCGAGCAATTTCAAAGTATTACAGGAGTCATTTAAAAACGAATAACAGTCATATTTATAATGATTAAAAGAGTCAACTCAAAGATTACCGGTATGTAACTCACACCATGTTTACCTTTGTTATTGATAAACCATTCCGACCAGTTTTATTCTTCTCAAAATGCCTTGCTGTACAGGCAACACAGGTCATTGATAGAGGGTCAATTATTGAGAACGAAAAGTCGTTTTGGGGTATAGCGTTAGGGCGCATTATTTTGTAACCTATGCGCCACTGTTCTGTAGCTGCGGTCGTTATCACGATTACGCCTCCTGTCTATGTTTCGTTGTCGTCACGTCGGAGGCACTTAAAAGAAAAAGCAACAAATAAACAAATTATAGCTACACAAAACAACGATAAATACACAAATTTAAGATACGACCATACTAACACGATCCGTCTTGGGGGTTATGTTTACACAAACTCGTAGTAAATAAATGTACTCAATGCGTTTCATTGAATTGAATATTTGTCAATATAGGTATTATTTTAGGCAAGGTTTCTGTGTTTGGATGTTATTAGAAACGGTAAGAGTACAATCAAATACTGCAGATGAACTTTCTGTTGGAGAAATATAAGCCGAATTATAAATGTCACAATGCGAGTTTGATCATTTTGTAACTATATTATATGGGTAAAATACATAGATTTTTTAGACTGCTGCTCAGTGCACTTTAAGAATATATATTTTAGAGATAAATTAAATGGGTTTTGTTGCATAGTAGTGCTAGTAAACATGCACAACCCTTTTCGTTTGTCTAATGACATTCAAAGGCTCTCTAAAAGTTTAGGTTCTTATTTGTTTACATATCTATATTATTTTTTCACTAAGCTGAATGAATACATGGAAGTAACCTCTCTTAAAAGTCTGCAGTATATTGCAGTTTTCCAGCTTAATAAATTTCTAAATCATGCACATATGTCTACATAAATATTGTAAAACGTGTTGTCCAGTTGCTGTAAACCACTATTAATTTAACAAAATATGGACACGGCTCAAATGGGCACCGTGCCCTTCTGCACTTATATTATTTTGTATTGTATTACACCATTGAAGATCTTTCCAATGATTGAAAGCCTGTATGACAATAATCTCACGAACCTATGATCATCTGTCTTGAATGATATAGGCAAAAGTGGTAAAAAATGCAGACACAACCCGTTCAATAGATATAAGATAATTCAATAAGGAATAATCTCAAAAGTTACTGTTATAATAAGATTTTCCAACAGAAGAAAATCAATTTTAAAATCAGAAAATAACATTGCAAATACTTCTTTTGGACTATTTAGTAACTCCCAATAGATGTGTGTTGTTTAAAATACAATTATAAAATTAACAGCTGTTTCATTAAAAAGTATTATCCACATGGCCAAAATGTAAACAAATCTGTGGAGGGATCTTAAAAGGCTTCTGGGGCAGAGCCCTAAGCGAATTTACTTCGTTTTTCTTTTGATAACTCATCTACAGACCAAGACCTTTCTTTGGACACCTCTACCAAATTTCTACGCCCAGCCGTTCTCTCAAATTAGTGGAGACAAAGTTTCCAATTAAATATTTAGATTCCCCCATGTTAATCTTATGGGAGAAAATCCAACTTTGATGGAAGATCCTGCCCAAACTAATAAAGATATCAAAAAACTAAAAACACTTTGCAAAACTACAAATCAGGCTAATTTTTTTGACACTTTAATCATCAAAATCGGTCCAAAAATGAGGGAGGAGTTCTGTTCACAAAAATCGGCTTAGCGTATTATATATATAGATGATGTTTTCATTAAGCTGAATGAACACATATAATACTGTACTGAATTTTCTTAAATCTTCAGTAAACAAAAATATTCCAACGGAAATTATTTAATTTACAAATTTTGCATAAATTTCTCCACTAAAAAAAAAAACATAAAAAACATTTGTAATTCACTTTAAAAGATTACTTTCAAACATTAGCGTAAACTACTTACTCATTTGTTCAACAAAAAAATCTCCATAAAAACTTTTTTCTCCATGGGAACTTGTAGAACACTGGGGCAGAGCAATGATAAACTGTTAAACTATTTATTTTATTTTATGGAAAATCTACATTCGACGACCTATCAAACGACACCTTGGACATGGTGATTGGTTGCGTGACAGTTTACAAACAACTGTCATTATGTTTATGTTAAACATATAGATAGCTAGACATGCTTTAATTAATCAGCTAATGTTACTATCGCTATTCTACTAGTAGCGAGTGCACTTAAAGGATATACTACTGCAATGTACCAGATCTTGCCAACTTGGTATTTTAACCGTTAAGTAAAAAATGCAAATTATCTTCTAAACTATATGGTAGTCATACCACAATTACAATTAAAGTATTAAATTTTATCTGGGTTACTAGTATTTTTAAGTACTTGATAACAATAATCGGTTACGAAGAAAATAAACTAATCCTTTAAAATTGCCATGATATTCTTATGAAGAGTAAGGAAAATGATTTAATTTGCTTGTTTATGGATACATATTTATCGATATTGGCAAATTTATTTATTACATAATAAGATATCAACATTTTACAAAAATATAAACACGATATTACGCTCTATGAGTGGCCTTCCAGATAATACACATACTACGTGCACCTATTAGAACCCCAATGTTGAATGGTCGTTTATATTGACAAGCAGAGAGTATTATCAAAACTGGTGTAGTGGTGGTCCAGGGGGCAGCAGGATGAAGATGTTCAGAAGTCGAGAACCTTGGTAGGGCGGGGCCCAGGCCCAGGGTCCGACATTGGCCTTGGGGGCTTCTATATAAACTGACTTTGACTTCGAAACATCATGGTCTCATTCTGCCTCACAGACACATCATCATGAAGTGCTTTGTAAGTAGATCCTCCCCAGTTTAAAGTTTTACACTTATTTAACAATGTAGGTTGCTCCTTTTTGATAATTTGATATTTGATAATTTAACAGTTTTTTTATCTAGATTTATTGACTAAACCCGCGAATTATTTTTTCGTCGTGGTATTTTTCTTATTTTTCTTTACTTATATTATTATTTTACATTTAGATACGTGTATTAATACGAAATCGGATTCGTATTGCCATTTATACCAATATATTTGATAAATAAATAGGTCTTATAAACATATTAACTTATTGTTCTTTTTTTATTTTTTCATCATTTAAAGACGTGTCTCAATATAAAATGCTATCGGGTTTGTATAGCCACTTTTACCAACATATTTCTTAAATCACAATAGGTCAGATAATATTTATTAGGGCTTATAACAGCGCCACTTCAATTTAAACATGCGAGAAGCTTATGCCATGCTTCTTTAAACACAATTTCTAAAAAACAATTTTTTATTTACCTACGACAACATTTCACATTTTTTAGGTTTTACATTTTGGCAAATCTTTTGTGAAAATAAGCTTTAGATTTTGAATGCAAATGGTTATCCTCAATTATAAACTTGTCATTCATAGATACGCTATTAACAATTGTTTTGATAATTTTAATAACAAGACACATGTTTTATTCTTGCTCATAGATTAAATTTTAAATTCAACACGGTAATTTCGTTCGTAAAACCACGGTGATAAACACTAACTAAAATGTTTTTTTTTATAAAATAATATAAGCCAGGACCTAGGATTTTAAGATTAAACGTAATTTTAGTAAAAACGATTTTATTAAGATTAAATATTTCATCGTTTTATTTTGCAGCTTTTGTCGTTATTATTAGCTTTTGTATCACGCTAACATTCTTATGAATTTAAATGGCAATGTGGCGAAACTCTGTCGGTGGATTTGATTGTAATCCACAAAAGTGCATACAATGGTAAATATTTTATTTAACACCAAAAATGAATACTCAGCTGTTCAAAATTAAAAAGGTAAAATGTTGAAGGTACAGGTCAAAATCTGAAATCAATATAGATTTATTTCTTTTTATACTAGCTGCTGTACCTGTGCTTCGCCACGTCAATATGCACATTGCACAATTCCGCCTACTCTATACAACATAAAGACGGATTATTTTATTTTATTTTATTACTAGCTGCTGTATCTGTACTTCGCAACAGGAGGATGTACTGTACCACCTATCCAAACACTTGTTAAGTAGTTCGAGTTTATAAAAAAAGTCCCCACATTTATACATAATGTATAATAAAAAACTATTTAATATTATTATATAGTATTAAATATTTAGTATTATATAGTATTTAATATAGTGTTATTTAATTGTCCTACTGTTTACATTTAAAATATATCAATACCATAATTTACATATCCTACGATTATATAATCTTTCTTTATTTCCATACTCCAGGACAAAGTTAAAGAATAAATAAACCTACCCCATGGTGTTAAATATTTTATTTAATTTATTTGAATCATATATCTAAATTTTGAAATAAGCATTTACTAGTTCTTAATTGGTTACATTGAAATGTCAACGCAAAGGTAAACAAAGATTGCGGATTTTCTCTTGCTTCCATGGAGATTGTTTCCATGGAGGGATGTGATTAGTAGGTCTATGGCATTCCTAGATTATGTGGACCATCTGTGTTCTTAATTTTGGCTGTATCGGTTTATTATTTAACCGTGGCAGCCGCACAGACAGACATGCATATAGAAAGACAGACAGACAGACAGACCCAACCTCAATTTTCTGAATTATGTTACTGCCCTGGATACTTAGATATCATATAAATGATTAAATAAATATTTTCCTACAATTTATGTATTTACTTTTTGTTTGTTTTCAATCATGGTTCGGAAAATAACATTTTTTTTCTTTTCTTTTTTTTGCAAATAAGCAGGGTTGCATACCCTCTCATAAGACGATGGGTCGCGACGCAGAGCATGTTCACTAAAATTTGTTTTCTATAACACTAAGACATTTTAATGCAAACCCCATGATACAAATAACTAAGTGTAATGCAGTTTTTATAACATAGCTTAAACATATTATCAGCTAAAATAAAAGAAAACTTATAATGCAAACCAACGTAAATTATGAGCATTATAGTATATTAAATTGTCCTCTGTGTTACAGATCGCTGTTGCTCTGCTAGTCGCCGCCGTCGCCGCCACCCCCGCCGTACCTCTGGACACCCCTGAGGTGGCTGCCGCTAAAGCTGCGCACTTTGCTGAGTACAACAAGGCAGCTGCTGCCGCTGGAGCCCCTGGATACGCTTACCCCTACGCTGCCTACCCCTACAGCTATGGCTACCCTTACAGCTACGCCGCCTACCCCTACAGCACCTACGCCGCCCCAGTCGTGACTCCTCAGGGCTACCTGGCTGACACCCCCGAGGTCGCCGCCGCTAAGGCCGTCCACTTCGCTGAGCACGCTAAGGCCGCCTCCGCCACCGGTGCCTACCCCTACTACGGCTACCCCTACGCATACAGTGGCTACCCCTACGCCTACAGCGGCTACCCATATGCCGCCCCAGTGGTTACCCCCAGTGGATACCTTGCTGACACCCCTGAGGTCGCTGCCGCTAAGGCCGCGCACTTCGCCGAGGTCGCCAAGGCCAAGGCCCTCGCCTAAGCACTATACCGACTGACTCCTGGTGTACATATTCCACCCTCCACTCCTAGGTCAGAGCCAGATCTGCAGAGACCCCAGTTGGGCTTTACCATTCGAGTTACACCTTTACTGTGTAAATTCCAGTCCCGGTTATTTAAATGTGATGTAATTTAAGTCTGTCAATAAAATCTATTTTCCTCAAATAATGTATATTGTTTAACTAACCCCTTTTAAGTGAGTCCTTGCCAACGTTTTGTTTCGAAATTATAGATAATACGAACCTTATTGGATCCCAACCATTGACAAAATAATAAGTATTCATGTTGTCCACAAGTCAAAAAATGCAAGGATGAATCCCATGAATGCTGCGTTGCTCTTACAGAAAAAAGTAAAAGTTACGTATCAACCTCTAAAAATAAATTATCCTAAAATTGGAAAGCTTAACCAATGCTAATGTTCAATATTAGTGCATTCTAGTAAAACATTTGTTCACGTTCACGTTGCCTAATGCTGTGTGATATTTAAAATGAAGTACTATAAATAAGCATTTTTAAAACCTCAATCTTTAACTTAAAACCTCGATCTTAGTCGAAGCTGTTACTATAGTAAAAGACTGTTTATGTATTCTGTACATCTAAATTAAAAAGTCATATGTTTTAATTCGGAGATTTAACAACAGAAATTTTACGGTAAGTTCGAGAAGATCGTGCGCAGACGGGGACGGGAGGCAGAGCCCGAAATACCCAGTCGGCAGAACAAACACATGCACTTGAGCCGTTAATTATACTATTATATTATACTATTACTATTATATATATATATTTTTTTTTAATACTTCTGTCTAAAGTTTTGGAGAAATTAGATATCCAAGCAGAAAACTTGATATCCAGTCGGCAGATCTTAAGAGTAAAATTGCTAAATTTGAAACAAATTTTGATGGTAACACTGTTAAATTAAATGAATTGGAATCTGAAATTTATCACATGGAAATAAAATGTATCATTGAAATTCTCCTGTGCTATTGACACGCTGGCCACAGGAAAAGACAATTACTTTAAACAATCCAGAATCCCAACTATCATTCATACCTGCTGTAGATCCCAAAGCTATAAAAGACAGCCTACCGGAATTTCACAGGAGGTTGTGTGGGTGTGCGAGTGCGAGTCTTTGTTGAAACAAACGTGTATACCGTCAGAAATATATGTGCAGATTGTAAGTCAGCATTTGAGGTGATCGGAAGGTACTTGTTTGCAAATCATTAAGAGTTTACGTCTCGAATACTCGATCAATAAAACATTCTTGACAGATGTTCAGACCATTGGCATGAGAGCCGGGACATTTGTTATTCAAAAGTTACAGTTGTTTAAGAAAATTAATAATGGTGGGAGTACAGTATTGACGAGAGTGTTACGTAGCCTATCCTTATATTGTGAAACTTTTGCATGATAAGATTAGGTCTCTCGTTAAGGTAGCTCAACCAAAATCATTCGACAAGCTCAGAATGTTAAAAATTAAATTCTGCATCATAGCAAAGCTAGATGATGATGTAAAATTTTATTCTTCGTAAATAAGAACTTCGAACAACTATTAGTCCAGGACCTGACTAGGGTTCTGTGTGCATGTCGTGTATAGAGAATTTTGCTTTTGCATTTCAAAATAGGTGTCTTTTAGGAAGTGTTTTCCACTCGGGTGTCAAGTTCGCACCTGGTACGTTTTCGAGCTATGACGTCATCAAAACGGCGGCCATTGATTTTTTTAAATCGTATATTTCGCAAACTATTTGTCGGATCGGAATGAACTTTTTTTGTTTGAAAGATAATTTTAAATGCTACCTGTTTTAAATTTACACATTTGTTGTATGTTTAGTACATTCTTCGTAATTTTGCAAAAACCTGTATTTTTAAATATTTTTGTGTTATTTTTGTTTGTAACGTTTTATTGATACAATTTATCAAAAACCACCAATGAAAAAAGTTGTAGAACGTTTAAAAATCTTTACAAAAATACCAAATTCGATATGTTTTACTCAAAAGATTACGTCAAGAAACTAGATAAATCTCATAAAAACACCAATTTTGGCGCAAAAACGCCTATTAGTCCGGCATCTAGGGCAGTTCGCAAGTCTTATAAAGACATTTTTACCATTCAATGTTGATGTATGTGTCTAAATAAGTCTTTTCAACTCGGGTGTCACGTCTGCACCCACTGCAGTTTCCGGTTATGACGTCATTAAAATGGCGGAAAGGGCTATATTAAAAATAACTATATTTTACATACCATGTATCGGATCGGAATGAACTTTTGTTTGTTTGAAAGATAAGTTTACATGCTATCTTTCTTACATTTACACTTTTGATGTATGTTTAGTATATCTTTCGTAATTTTGCAAAAACCTATATTTTTAAACATTTTTGTGTTATTTTTGTCGATAACGTTTTATTGATACAATATATCAGAAATAACTTAAAGACAAAGTTGTAGCACGTTAAACAAGCTTTACAAAAATACCAAATTCGATATGCTTTACTCAAAGGATCACGACAAGAAACTAGAAAATCGTACAAAACAACCTAAATCGGCGCAAAAACCCATATAAATCCGACATCGATGGCTGTGTTCGAATTTCCATTTGCCTGGATTGATTATCAATTAATCTATTAAATTAACATTGTTTAAGAATACCTAGGTTTGCTGCTTAACGGAAACTAATAAAGTGGATTTTTTATTAAATTATTAATAGCTTAGTACTGGATAAATAAATCTAACAATTTTGATCAAAATATATCCATAAACAAGCCAACTACTACAGTTACAATATTGTCCAAAAGAATAACATTGGAGTTTTAAATGAAAAATGTTTTTATTTTCTCAGTAACCAATAACCGTTCAAAAACACTTTTACCGTTCAAAAAACATAGGTACTCTAAAACAATGTTAATTTAATATATTAATTGAAAATCAATCCAGGCACTTAAAAACACTTCTTTAGACACATACATCAACATTGAATGGTAAAACTGTCTATATATGACTCGAACACAGCCATCGATGTCGGATTTATAAGCGTTTTTGCGCCGAATTAGGTTGTTTTGTACGATTTTTCTAGTTTCTTGACGTGATCCTTTGAGTAAAGCATATCGAATTTGGTATTTTTGTAGAGCCCTTTTAACGTGCTACAACTTTGTCTTTAAGTTATTTCTGATATATTGTATCAATAAAACGTTATCGACAAAAATAACACAAAAATGTTTAAAAATATAGGTTTTTGCAAAATTACGAAAAATGTACTAAACATACAACAAAAGTGTAAACGTAAGAAAGATAGCATGTAAACTTATCTTTCAAACAAAAAAATGTTCATTCCGATCCGATACATGGTATGTAAAATATAGTTATTTTTAATATAGCCCTTTCCGCCATTTTAATGACGTCATAACCGGAAACTGCAGTGGGTGCAGACGTGACACCCGAGTTGAAAAGACTCATTTAGACACATACATCAACATTGAATGGTAAAACTGTCTTTATAAGACTTGCGAACTGCCCTAGATGCCGGACTAATAGGCGTTTTTGCGCCAAAATTGGTGTTTTTATGAGATTTATCTAGTTTCTTGACGTAATCTTTTGAGTAAAACATATCGAATTTGGTATTTTTGTAAAGATTTTTAAACGTTCTACAACTTTTTTCATTGGTGGTTTTTGATAAATTGTATCAATAAAACGTTACAAACAAAAATAACACAAAAATATTTAAAAATACAGGTTTTTGCAAAATTACGAAGAATGTACTAAACATACAACAAATGTGTAAAATTAAAACAGGTAGCATTTAAAATTATCTTTCAAACAAAAAAAAGTTCATTCCGATCCGACAAATAGTTTGCGAAATATACGATTTAAAAAAAATCAATGGCCGCCATTTTGATGACGTCATAGCTCGAAAACGTACCAGGTGCGAACTTGACACCCGAGTGGAAAACACTTCCTAAGACACCTATATTGAAATGCAAAAGCAAAATTCTCTATACACAACATGCACACAGAACCCTAGTCAGGTCCAGGACTATATGACTCCTTTAAATGTTATAAATGTGGGTAAAAGGGCTCGTGGTCTGAAAAACTAGACCAGAGCGTTCTAAAGGCCCATATAGGGTGAGAACAGCTTTAGAAGTGTGTACAAGTCCCAACATTATCAGTCAGAAAAATATATATTGGTCAGATGATTAGTGAGAGTGTGAGTTATCACCCCCACCCAGCAATTAGTTTACAGATTGGTGACAAATATTATACTATAGTCCTTGATATTCAAGCATCACATTCGTTTATTGGCATGGCGGTTGTGAAATTGTTAACTCCGTTTTGTCCAGACTGTTGTCAAAGGAGCAGTACGGAATATAAATTACAAAATCGGAGAATTTACTTTTCAAACTATTCCGGTAAAAGTGATTAAGGATTTACAATACAAAAAAAATCATATTAGGACATGATTTACTCGTCAAATACGGTGTGCTGATAGATTTTACAGCAAATGAAATCTTTTTTGGCATTAAAAATAGAGTTAGATTAGGATGTTTAGAGGACAAACACTTTGATTTGGGAGTAGCATTAGAAAATTAAGTGTTTGATGAACTGAAAGTAGAAATATTGGATTTCAATAAAAGGAAAGACCTGAGTTATTTACTCAGTATATTTCCAGAGGTTTTTAATTACATACATAATTTGGTTCACTACTACGGTATAACATAAGATCTATTGTAAGGATAACACTACAGTTAGACTGAAACATTATCCTCCTAACCCGGACCAACGGAAGTTTGTCATAGAAAAAGCAAAGGCAATGTAAAATCAAGGGTTAATTGAAGGATGGCTTCGCCAATAGCATTACCCTAAAAGAAGATCGGAGGGTGCAGGTTGTGTGTGGATTTACATCAGGTAAGTTATACAACAATATCTGGTGCTCACCCAATGCCTGACCGGCTGCATCTGATGAGGCAAGTTAGTAGGGCCAAATTATTCAGCATTTTGGATTTGAATTCTGTCAAATTTTAATAGTGCATTCCAAGGAGTACCACAAGGTAAGACGACCACTTGAAAGATCAAGAATTAAGTACAAAGACCAAACAAAGACATTTTCAGACTGGGATCTACATTAGAAGAGGCGGGGAATAGAAGAGAAATGGAGGCCAGCATCATCTTAAAGTTTCAGTGACCATGGAGGTAAGATAAGGTATGGTAAGTGATAGTATACAATGGGAGGTTTTATGTAGCTACTCTACTCAAAACGGATGGGTTTTACAGTAGCTTTGCCTGAAATACAAATCTTTGTAGATCACACTAAATTATACCTTCCCATACGAACCGCGGGATGCTAACTGCTCTGTTACCTAACTAGTACAACTGACTTCCCGAGTGTATCAACCACAATAAACAAAATTCCCAGGTTGACCAATTAAGATCAGGTTGAGTGTTCCATATCTGTGTAGGTCACCTGACCTTGAGCGCTCCTCCTGGTATATAATCTAACTCGGGGGATGGAAGTGGAAATCGTTTCTGACCTTAGCGAGGAACACAGAAAGCCATGAAGTTTTTTGTGAGTATTATTTTTACAAGAGCATAGGAGTAAAATTAAGATTTTTATTATTTGGATGTTTATAGTTAAATATTGATTTTATATGTAGGCCTATGTTTTCGTTTTTGAAAATGGTTTAATATACATTACACCTAATTTTTCAAATTTACTACATTGAATGGTAATTATATATGTTTTCAATATTTGTTCAGGAAATAAATGATGATAAACTGGCAGTTTTATAAACGTAAATCCAAATGTCGTGATATTTTGTTAGAATGAAAGCATTTTCAAAATATTTCCTGAACGTTCCTTAACGACATTCATATACTCATGCTATTGAACATAGGCCCCTATAGATACGGTTAATTTGTTTTATTACTAGCTGCTGTACCCGTACTTTGCAACTGGAGGATGTACTATATGCTATTAACTAAATCCTAACACTTGTTAAGTAGTTCGAATTTATAAACAAAAAGGCACCACATTTATACAAAAAAGTATTAACTACATTGTAATTGTCATACTAATTACATGGAAGTATATCGATACATTATTATCATAACTTAGACACTTTAATAAATCGAAAGCAGAGCCTGGGTTGATACAGTGACGGTTATAGAATATTTTTTTAATTCCATATTCAATGAAGTAGTTTTAGAAAAATAATTTATGACAAAGTTTTAAAATAAATAAACGTACCACATAGTTGTGAAATATATGATTGTGTCTGATTATATTAATTTATGGTTCAGCCGTCTGAAATTGTGTAATAAGCATTTGACAGTTCTTATTTAAACATTGTGAGTTTTCTTATGCTGCTGTGGAGACCAATTAATATTTAATTTTGAAAAGTTCCTCTCAAAAATGTTGACATCCGAGGGGCGTATCCCGAGAGGAACACAGGGAAGTGAATAAGCGTAAGAGATTCCTAGATACGTAGACCATATTGTGCTTAATTTTGAATCTACAGGTTTAGTTTTTTTAGGCATGACAGCTGCCCAGACAGACATACAGACAGACCACCTCAATTTTATAATAGTTTAGATAGATATATAAATTAACATGTATTGCATAAACCACCACGTAATTAATGATGAACTTTTTAATTTTATAAATCTAAACCTTTATGGACGTAGTTTCAGTTAAATATTAAACCGTTTTCATGTGGCATTAGTCCGAAATAAAATATTTTTCATCTTAATACTCCTGCAATAAAGAAAATTAACACTTAGAACTTAAAAACTGTTGTTCTTCCAAACATTTAGGCCTAATCAAATTTTAAAAATAATAATAACTTAAACTTTCTACTTATTGGAGCACAAAAAGAATTTTCAAATCCTCAGTCCTTTTAAAGTAAAGAAATGCTTTGTGATAATTAAAATCAAAAAAACAAAAACAAAAGGAAAGATAAAAGGTATTGTCAACATAATTCCCTTTGTGAAGCTGGAAAACCCCTTTTTCACTAGGAGTAGGGTATCATTTGATGGAAATTCAGAAGAGATTTGAATTGATAGCAAATCAATCCAAAATGGGTAATCATTTTTGGACATCATCGTTTAACATTAACGTACGTTGAGTATAAAACTTTGAAAATCCCAAAATCCTAATGTCTTACACAAGACCTAAGTTTTTGTGTACCTTTGCTAAAAAAAATAAACAACTTTGTGTGTACGACCATTGATAGAAATGCTTGAACGAATAAAAAAGGTAAATTCGTTGAAGTAAATTGGGACACAAAGTCATATAAAAATAAGGCATGCATATTGCATCATACGTATGGTGGATAGAGGAGCCAATAAAATTCATTACAAGAATAAAAAGCAAACGGGAAAAAAATTGGATATTGTCCTTATGATCATATATATACTAATTCATTGATTAAGTATACGTGTTATAGAAATAGTAGAAGAAAAAAAGATATATATATTTACACTGTATACATTTACATACGTCTTTGTACTGTCAACAGATAGTTCTTACACTCGCAGTAGCGGTCCAGGCCCAGAGCTTCATCCCCCAAGACACCCCAGCTGTCGCCACCGCCAAAGCCGCCCACTACGCTGAGTATGCTAAAGCAGCCGCCCGTGTAGGAGCTCCTCTCCCAGAAGTGTACAGGACTGTCGTCTACATCCCTCCCTCCTTCGCCCCCGCCCCCGTCGTCACTCCTGAGGGCTTCATAACCGACACCCCAGAGGTCGCCGCCGCTAAGGCCGCCCATCTAGCTGAGGTCGCTAGAGCCACGGCCGCCGCCCCCGCCGCTGCCCCCGCTGCTTACCCGTATGCAGAGTATTACCGTGCCTACTACAACTACTACTACCCCAGTCTCACACGCTCCATCTACTCAGGTCACCAGGCCGTGCCTACCGTGCTGCCTAGTGGATACCTCGCTGACACCCCCGAGGTGGCTCACGCCAAGATCACCCACCTCTACAAGCTCTACCAGGAGTCCGCACGTCTTTGATTTGTTTGTATATATAACAACGAACCAGTGATTTATTGAAGCACAATACTGTGTTATTATATTGTATATTATGTAAATAGAACTTAGCTTTGATGGTCAATCATGTTTGAATGCCCTTTTTTCTCTAAAATATAGAGAAATTTCCATAGTGTAATAAAGTAAAAGATATTTTACCCCTTGGTAATTATAGCACAGTGAATGCAACTGAGTGTGGGGGGGGGCTTTGCTTTTGAATTTACAATTAGTTTGATTTTCTCTGTAACCAAAATCTGTACATAAACATTTCAATGTACTAAATGATTTGTTTTTAATCTCTAATGGCCAGAGAGGAATTTTTAAGTTTTATGTTTTCAGAGTAAAAAAGTTCATTAAAACAATTTTTACTCCTATAAACCTCCCATAAAACCCCCTTTCCAATCACCTATCATGCTGGTTCGCAAACTCGTTTCAATAAACGTAGGTGTTTTGTTTGTGCCAAATTTAATCGAAATCGGATGGCTATTGGGATATCAAAACAAAAAAGAGCATCGGTCCAGGATCCAGGAAAATTGGTTCCTTATAATCTGAAAGGCGACCTTGAGATGATAAAAACAAAATTTTTAATGAAACATTATAACAATCATGTTAAAGATATGAACAAATCAGGCATTTTTCAAATAAAATGTTCAGACTGTAAAAAATCCTACATTGGCCAAACATGCCGTAGCTTTAAGAAAAGGTCCCAGGAACATATACAAGCATTAAAATCAGGTAACAAAACGACAATGAAATCAAATGTTTCAGAGCACCTAATCAAAACGCGACATGGGTACAAAAATATAAATAAAAACTTAGAAATTCTGGAATATGAAAAGAATAAAACAAAACTAAATGTCACAGAAGTTTTTCACATATACACAAATTACATAAGATTTTCTCAAAATTTATTGAATACCATGAACATCAACAAAACAAATCTGATATTAGAAAAAATCCTACAGTTAAAAAAACAGAAATATTATACAATATACGCACAAATAAAACAAAGAATTAATCAAGTTCCTCTAAATTCTAAGTTAGCTTAACATATGACTACTGGTATATTTATTCCTTTCATTATTTATTGTTGTATTTGTATAAAATGTAAACATGACTATGACCAAAGTGTTGAATTAGTCGTTTGATAATTAAAATTAATTTAAAAAGGTGCTAATGTTTTTATAATGTTTTCAATTGTTTATATAGTAGTAGCCATAATCACAATAATACTTAAATATATTACAAATATATTTATAATATATATAATATTATTTATATACACAGTGTGGTAGAATAGTCCTGGACGGTTGAATATATTTGTTACCAATATAGATAAAGTAATGATACTTGGTCTATAAATAATAGCTATAAATGCTATTTAAATAGGAAATAGATCTGGAAATTTTCAGGGTATATTTTAGTAAAAATCCAGCCAGTTAAATGGAAATTCGCTTTGTCTGCAGGTTTGCTGTTGTGGGGGTGTACTGTACCATATGGACTGACAAGAGCTATGTTGGTTGAACAAAATAAAAATAAAAATTAAACAAAAGGATTGTCACGACATGTGTTTATAACAAGCCATCAACAGTATACTAGCACATATACAAATTACAGTACAAAGGGAAAAACATCAGTTGTAACAAGCAAAGATATAGCAAAATTATATAAGCAGAGCATAAGATAAGCAAAGATTACACAAAAGATTACTTGATAAAGAAGAAAATAGCTCCGATCAAATACTGATTATATTATTTAGCCCTCTTCCACCAAAACCTAATTCCTGAAGTACTGAGGCAATCCAAGTAAACTAATTACAACTGGGGATTTTGTTTTGCATCCAACTATTACCGTAGGAGAAAAAAAATAGAATCTCAATTTCTTTATAAGTAGTAGTGAAAAGGCCAAAAAATCGTTGTCACAAGCCATTTTGAAACTAATATAATTTTCTTTATATCATATTTTTCTGCTCAGGTTGCAATGACTAGAGACTAAAACTATTCTGTGCGAACTTAAACAAGCAAGATCATAAAAGTGTATCCTATTATTGTTTAATTGCATACTCATACATTACAGAGATGTAACTATTTCAGCGATCACATGTATATGGTTTCTAATGAAAATGTGTTTGGTAAATGTCTGTTTACGATGTTGTTTTAACGATTAAACCCAAATAACCCCAACCAAGCAAAGCTTGGTCCCCCGGTACTAGTATTTTATTGGAACACTTCCAACCTTATCTTTTTTCCTTAAAGAAGCAACACACAACTATTTAATTTTGTTTACATTCTGTTTAAAATTAATAACCATATGTTTTCATTACTAACAAGCATGATAACCAAAATGAAATTATTTATAAAAGCTAGTCATTTCAATTCAATTCAATTCCATTCAATATTTATTTATTCATTAAAGCACAAAATACATCAATGGTGTCATTCTCTTACATGTTTTTATATTACAATGTTCTTACATTCTATGGATACAAAGTTCTTAAAATCTAACATAAGTTTACACAAATTAAAAAGTAACACTTCTTCCAAAATTCTAAAGTTCATCGGGGGAGTAGAATACCTTGTTGATGAGAAATGTTTTAAGACCCCTCTTAAATCCCACCATGCTTATTGCCGATTTAATTTAATTTGGAATTTTGTTGTAATATTTGGAGCCGGTTTAACTTGGTTTTTTACTGTAAAGTTCTAATCTGTGGCAGTTTAAAGCAATGTTGGTTTTGTTTCCGGTACTGCAGTGGTGGTATTCACCAGTTAACCCCAGTTGAGAAAATCTGTTATTAACATAATATATAACTGTCTTTTCAATTTCCTCTTCAGAATTAGCGGTAACTGAAAGATTTACATCGTCTGCTTAAAGGTAAATTTTGCTGGATTTAGTCAGCCCTGGTAGGTTTGTAACATATCAAATAAATAGAAGGGGACCCAATAAATAGAAGATCCCTGTGGTACACTATGTTTAATAGTTATAATTGTTAACTTATAAGTAATTTTCATTTGATTATTGAATTAGATAGTTTCTACAAATTGTTTTCTATTACATATGTATGATTCTAGCCATTGAAGAGATGTATTTTTATTCCGATGCTAGACAATTTATTTAAAAGTAGATTGTGGTTTATAGAGTCAAATGCATTGGTTAAATCCATGAAAATACCAAGAGCCTTTTGTTTTTCATCTAAACAATCAATAACTGACTCTATAAACTCTATAAACTATAAACTACTATTTAAAGCCAGTAAACATGGTATATATCTAACAGGCATCACACAAACTTTGCCCTATTACTTATTGTGTTTATAAAACATGTTATATATTTTACCTACGACCTTTAAAGTTTCCGTTTCGGTTCAGTTCTTAGAATTGAAAAGTTTCTCATAACTGCATTGTTTACATTCATAATAGCATAGATTACCCATAAAAACACGGGTAACGGACCAATAAGGTACTAGGATTGAGAGAGAAGAAGTAAAATTGTAATGATTCGAACTTCAACTAACCAGCTGTTCAGACAAATTTAATTGTTAAGTGTTGAAATTAGTGTTTGGTACAATGTTTCTTTGCACCACTGTCAGTGGCGTAGTGATTTTTAACACTAAGAGGCGGTTTGGGAACTCGAGCCCAGATAGTACGCGCCTAACTTTAGTCTTCGGACCAAAAACAACTTTCGAGTAAAAAGCTTTAGACACTCGAGTTTGGAGCTCTACAGAAAAGTAACCTAACTAACAAAGAAAAACACGTAGTATATATACAATTTGTTTTATTCTACGTATTCCTGTGAAAACAAAGAAATGTTAGCTGGTTTAGGAAATCTTTTATGACAGTCGGAAGGTAAAAACTCCCTGTTTTTAGAGTATCAAAAACCATCTTACGACTTTGAAAATTCGTAAAATGTAAACTACACCTCAGAATGTTATCTAACTTTAATAGAATACATAAAGTTTTTTTAGTGAATTTCCCATATAGGGAATAAGCTATTTTAGGTTTATGTTGTTCAAAATAAACCAAAAATCATGCAGGAAATAATTTAACGAAAGATTATTTGGTTTTTGTTTTTAATGTTAAATGCAATAAAAATATGGACCCTAAATAGAAAAAATAGCAACCGCATACGTACCCCCCATTACCCAACTTCTACGAAAGGGTAAAAATATAGTAAACAAAACATAAAAAACTGCAAATAGCTCTCAGTCATAATCGTTTTCTTTTAATTGCGTTGTGACTGAGCTCAGTTCAGTGTAATTGCCCAGGTTCTAGTTACATCAAAATGGAGTACCTAGATTATTTGGAGTATGAGAAAATATATAAAGTATATCAATAACCTGCCACAAAAAACCTCCAGTCCAAGCGAATTTCCAATAACCTAATAGGACTTTCAATTAAATTGCTTTAGGTTTAACAAGTACCTAAACTAAAACTACTTGCGTGTAGGTAATGCTGCTACAGGGAGGTCAATAAAGTGTGTTTTTTACCAAAATATTAACAGCTTTATGTAAAAGAAATAAATTTGCCAAGTTTCATCAAAATATATCCATAAACGACCAAACTACAGCAGTTAACTTATTCTCCATGGGAATAATATGGGAATTTTAAATTTACAATTGTTTGAATATTCTCTGTAACCAATAACCGTACAAAACATTTTAAGATACTAATTTGTTTTTTACGTTTTTTAAAATATTTTAAAGATATAGATTTATGTTTTAGGGGTTAAAACTTAGAAAAAAAAACTATTTTTATTCCATACAACCACGGGTCCCCATGGTCTGATCATGTTGGTTCGCGAACTCATAAAGGTTTATCGCACCTTTACACTTTCATTCAAAATTTGATCCAAATCAGACAAAAATTACTCATGTTATCACGTTCATGAACGTATATTTAATATATTGATTTACACATATAAAAATTTAAACGAATAGTGTTTTTGGCCTCTAAGGACATCAAAATAGAAAAGTATATCGTTCCCGGAACTAAGTGCTCCTAGGGTAATAGCTACTTCCCTATAGGAAAATTAATAAAAATTGGCAACACATTTTTTGTAAATATTAAAATAAATATTTTACATTTACCTTTGCTTTACTCAATCATAATCTCCGCAATTACTTAAAATACTTTTAATTTTTTTTCCGTCAATACCCCTATATTATACAGGGAAATTGCTGTTTAATTTTGAAGGTTTTTATTGCATGAAACCGAGTTGAGACTATCTCTTAGGCTGGTGCCTAAGTCTACTACTAGACTCTCAAACCAACAATATTTAGGTGCGTGCCTAACTAATCCCGACCTCACAACCCCGTTTTCGAGGCATTCCGGTTTTAGTCGTGGACTAGCGCTAATACCGAGTTCCCAAACCGCCTCTAAAACTCATAGCTATGCAACAATGGATTATGCTGATTAGAAATTGAGTAAAGAACTTCTTTTGTCGTTAAAATTTGTCTCCAACTACTGCGTAAAAAAAACACCTCGTATACGGCTGATTATCATGCGAATAACAAAGAAACCCAAACTCAAACACAAAAATGGAAGTGAAATATTTATACTACATATTTATTACTAACTGAATATATACCTACCACTCACACACTCATGGGAATATTACCTAACATATCACTATAAATAGAAAAGACTTGCTATTTTTAATATTTCCTACTCTAAATACAAATAAAATTCCCGTTCCCATTAGACGCGTGTTCTTAGACTACATTAGCGTGAGATTGTGACCTTGAGAATCTCTCCTACTATATAAACCCTGCTAGGGGTTTGATGATTAACATTCACAAATCCATCCACCTCTCGCCAACTGCCTAGCCATGAAAATTTTGGTGAGTCATAATAACTATACAACTACTATATAAAATATTATTTCCTATAATAGTGCATATTGATGAATAGGTGAAATTACTTTTTTATATGGAGTTTGTAAAATTGAGTTCTTTAGTTGTCATGTAAAATTGAAATATTCAATCTCGTGAGAAATATTGGAAGATAAACATAAAAATAGCAATTGATTTTATTATATTTGATTTTATTAATTCAAAGCTAAATTCATATGTAATTTACATAACCAACTGCTCTTATCTATAGATCAGTCAGCATGTCTACAATAAGTTTTGCGTCAAAGTGCATCGTTCTAGAAAACCGAAGTTTTACCAATATTTCTTTTGGTTATAATTTGTTTTGGATATTATGGTTACCAATATGTGTTTTGGTAACATCAAAATGTGATTTCTATGTTAATTATATTGTACTGTCGACAGATAGTTCTTACACTCGCAGTAGCGGTCCAGGCCCAGAGCTTCATCCCCCAAGACACCCCAGCTGTCGCCACCGCCAAAGCCGCCCACTACGCTGAGTATGCTAAAGCAGCCGCCCGTGTAGGAGCTCCTCTCCCAGAAGTGTACAGGACTGTCGTCTACATCCCTCCCTCCTTCGCCCCCACCCCCGTCGTCACTCCTGAGGGCTTCATAACCGACACCCCAGAGGTCGCCGCCGCTAAGGCCGCCCATCTAGCTGAGGTCGCTAGAGCCACGGCCGCCGCCCCCGCCGCTGCCCCCGCTGCTTACCCGTATGCAGATTATTACCGCGCCTACTACAACTACTACTACCCCAGTCTCACACGCTCCATCTACTCAGGTCACCAGGCCGTGCCCACCGTGCTGCCTAGTGGATACCTCGCTGACACCCCCGAGGTGGCCCACGCCAAGATCACCCACCTCTACAAGCTCTACCAGGAGTCCGCACGTCTTTGATTTGTTTGTATATATAACAACGAACCAGTGATTTATTGAAGCTCAATATTTTGTTGTTAATTTTTATATTTTGTAAATATAACTTAGCTCTTGTGTTCAATCTTGCCTATCTACCTTATTCGCTTTCTTTGAATAAGAAATAATTTAGAAACAGTTATATAGGTACCTATATGGTTACTCTAAGATAATATGATTTTATTTATAGTAAACAAAGTACTTATGTTTAATGTTAACTATATAATCATTGAATCGTTATAAATGTTAGCAGTTATAAGTAGTAGCATTTTATAATTTTATATGTGTTATTTCTTAAGTCACCTTGATTCACACGCCAAAAATTCTGCTTTAAAGCTGTGCTGTATAATTGTATTGTTCCTGAATATTTGTTCACTAACTGGTTCACCTTAGCGGCAATATACCATCACATATTTAAATTTTACTTATGCAGGATTTTACTTATATCCCAGAAGTTTCTAAAAACTATTCAAGTATTATTCCTTGACGATAGAAAAGTCAGGATATCATATTCAACATGTTCAAAACTCAAAATTACTCGTATAGCTCATGTAAATAATTTAACTTTTAGTTTTTGTAATTTTAATAGATTTTTATTCTTTGTCTTTTAATAAATTAATTGTACAACGAATACTAAAGCAGCACACTAAATAACAATAAGCAAAAGACAAGAAATTATCACGTTTTAAAAGTGGATTGCTTCAAACAGCTGACCAGTGCTGATTGACGTGACTCACTAGCAGTAGTTTTAACGAATTACGTAGTAACAGTTGGTATTGACATGATCACATTTTCTTAAAAATTTGTTTTCTCTCTTATTTTAGAACCGATTTCTTAATTTCGGTATTATAAGATTTGTAATTGAATTTTCTTGATAAATATTGGTTGAATCTTTTTTCATATTAAGTTTGAGAGATATTTAAGCTTACAAATTTTAAGCGGCCATTTTTTAAACACACACTCTAAACAAATATTTTTTCCTGAACAGCTCTCTTAAAGTAATAAGGCCATATACCAAATAAAAAAATGGTTTTGGGAAAAATCAAAATGGCGGCAATACGAGTAAGTTTTTAGTTTTAGAAATTTTGACTTGTCTATGGTCTAGGAATATTACCTGAAAAAGTAGATAAAGAGTTGCGGAAATCCCTGTCTAATACTTCGTGGTAAATTATTACTATATCCAAACCATAATACTACTACAATATCCCAAATCAAACAGGGTTGTGTAAAACAACCAACGTATTATTACTGACAATTCATCACAACTTACATCACTGGTAAACCACCGTTCACAAATCGGCAATCACTTTATTTTTATCCTACCCTTGTAGTTAAGCTGTTTGCACGCCTTCCTGTCCACAGATAAGAGATTGTATCTTATACCGTATTTACTTGTTTATTCAGGTTATATAACTAAACACGCGTAATAATGGTACAGTCTCTGTACTATTACTCTATACGGTTAATTTAAATCTGAACTAGTAATAATTGAATACACATTTTAATTAAATATGATACCACGACGTCTTCTTATATTGGTTTATTTACAACAATGTTCTAGTGTGTAATTCGTCTGTATTTATAGATGTACTAGTTCACATTGTAAACACTTTCATAGATTAGACTAAGCTAATTTGGACCACTTTAAATCCTTTTAAACCCATCAGGAAGTTTTACCTCATCTCTAGTTTTGTTATTTGCTTGCTGAAAATATGTTTTGTGTGTTGAGAGATTTTGTGTAATTTACAGAATGGAAGATTTTAGTTCTGATTCTAAGGATTTCAACACTATTAAATCGTCTTGTTCGGGAGTTGCAGGATTGGTTTAAACGTAATCTTAAAACAGCAAAACTATTTTATTTTGAATTTACTGTACAATAGTTTAAAATGGTTAGGTTATAAAAATATGTTATGTTAGAGTTAAATGTCGTTTTTCAAATGTCTATGTTATAATACCAATTGAAACACATTCAAGCCAGAAAAGAAAATTTGTGTAAAAAACACTTGTTAGGCTACTACGCTCTTGTACTTAATAGTATATTTCATAACTAGGCCCTAAAGTGACTCTTTAAAAAAATAAACTTTTCCCCGTGTGATTTTTATTCTTTGTCTTTTAATAAATTAATTGTACAACGAATACTAAAGCAGCACACTAAATAACAATAAGCAAAAGACAAGAAATTATCACGTTTTAAAAGTGGATTGCTTCAAACAGCTGACCAGTGCTGATTGACGATGTTATTTTATTGCTGATGTTATTTTATAAGTATGGGATACAGGCCAGTGACGTAATTTGTTTATGTTTGTGATCCATAAAGTTAATGGAATGGCTTAATGTTTTTTTTACTAAGCTTATATTTTTCGTCATATTGGACATTCCATAAAATCTTCTACAAATACTAAATTCCTGGGTGTAAACATAAATGGAAATGTAAAATAGTCTGATCATTAAATACAAATTATCTCGTCTCTATCAAAAGCATTGTTTGGTCTGAGGGTGGTTTTTAAGTCTTCGGGTTTGCATGCAGCTCTTGCTGTGTATCATTCTTATTTTATGTCTAGGTCTTCCTATGGTATTATATCATGGGGCAGCTCCCCGATTACCAAAGAATATTTTTATCTTACAGAATTTGCCGTTAGAATTTTAGCTGATATCAGACCACGTTCCATTTGCCGTCCTCTTTTTATTCAGACGAAACTCTTGACAATTTATGCAGTTTATATTGTTATATGAAAACGCTTTTTACTCCCTAGAGAGCATAAATGCTACTTTAGACCCACAACGCATGCATTAAAAACGGAAGTTTTTAGTGCAATATAACGAAATAGTATATTACGTTACTAGTCCTGAAAATAAGTGTTTACCGGACGAGTGTGGTCGTTCCCGTGCGAGACGAAGTCGAGTACGGGATTACCATACGAGTCCGGTACACACATTTTGGACGAGTGACGTACGATAGTTTACGCCATACTACTAAATCTGTACAAGTCCTTATATATTTCCACCAACTAAAGGACTAAAAATCACTAGTCATTGAGAGGTTATGTTTTTGTTTATAACCACTCATTGCCACCTAAATACTAAATACAGTACAATCAGCTGATTGGTGTCCGGTAAAACTCATTGCAGCACAGTAGTACGCAATGAAACCCCATTTGAATAAGCTGGCGGCAAACAGCTGTTTTCTGGACTAAATACTTGCGTGGGAAGTTCGTCAAAATAATGTAGTGTGGCGTAAAGAAATTTACTGTGCTAGTAAGATGCAAAATTATAGTCATTCAGGGTTCATGTAGATTTCCACACAATATATACAAACAAAACATTTCTTTTTCAAATGTATTTGATCATCAAATGTATTCTGATAAAGGTATTCTGATAAAAGGTCTGAGTGGCTAAGTAGTTATTGTGATCGCCTTTAAAATCTCGGACACTGGTTCAGAACTGAACGATATGGATCATAATCGTAAACAAATGATACCACTGACCTAAATTTTAATATTTATGCATTATTATTTAAATAAAACTGTTAAAACAAGACAATAAACATGTTATTTTATAAGTATGGGATACAGGCCAGTGACGTAATTTGTTTATGTTTGTGATCCATAAAGTTAATGGAATGGCTTAATGTTTTTTTTACCAACCTAGATATGGTGGTTCAGTTTTGTATCTAGATATTTATTATAAAAACCTACCTTTTAAAGTAATTACTAATTTTCCTCTCCTCCAAGGCCCAGAAGGAGTAAGAATAAAATCTTATAGTAAGCATATGTTGATATGTATATCAAACTAAAGGTCATTAGTGGTAAAATACAATGCCGCAAATTTGAACACACTTTGAACTGTTTGCAAACGGGCAACCGAGTAAAAAAAAAAAAAAAAAAAAAAAAAACAGCCGTTCAAAGATATCTCGAATCTGTCATTTTAAATCTTTGAATGGCTCCAACTTTTTACTCAGTTGTTATTTTGAGATCAAAATTTGTGGCATTGTATTTTAATAGTAAAGACCTTTTATTAAAGATACATTAACATATTAACATATTTACATTTACACATTGTAAGATGCATCTTACTTATAACAGATTTTCTTATTACTCCTTGTGGGCCAGCCCCCTGCAGGAAAGAAAAATTTGTAATTGCTAAAAGTAGGTTCTTATAATAAATACCACTGTATCAATGTTGGTTAAACAAATTAAACTGTTCCGAGACTTTTCAACACAATATATTTACAAAACAAACAAGCCTTATAAGCGTTAAATCTTATAAGACCGTTCCCTTATATAAAACGTTGTTGAGTAAACTGTTGGTACAATATGGTTTTGTTAACGTACTTCTTAGACTGCATTTTTAATTCTTTATAATATCCAAAAATCTTGTTTAACTAATTGGACAAGAAAACAGGAGGCAACCAGGAGGGTGCCCGCACTGCAGGAACTATATGGGGAACTGGGTAGTTTTGGGGTTCAACGTGGTAGGATTGGTACTCGGTAAGGGCTTTGTACAGATCTAGATAGGGAACCCCGACTGGAGCTACACTAGTATCAGCATATCTGAGGTCTATCTGTGCTGTAGGTGATGGGAAGAAGTATAAAGAAGCTGCTGGTGCTTGGCTAAGAAGTGGTGAGTCGGGGTAGGAGGGCTGCTGGGCTGCCAGGGCCGCAGCTACCCTAGCGTAGGCGGCTAGATGGGCTGCTTTAGCCTGTGCGACCTCTGGGGTGTCTGCAGGTAAAAGGAATCCCTCCATTGAGGCAGCGAGTGACAACAGCACAGCAAAACACTTCTGAATAACAGGCAGAAAAGGTGATGTAATTGTCTTCTCAACAAACGCATTTATTTGACTTCATTTGTTTCTCTACACACCTATGGGTTCCACTAGACTAAAGATATAAAGGTTTTGATAAGAAACTTTAATAGCTTATTTTATACAGCTCACAGTTTAATTACGAAGTGACGCTGGCTGCTAGTTTATTTCAAGTGCTAAAGGCAACCAGCCGCAACAGACGGTCTGAATGATCAAATGATTGTTGTATACGGCAGTAAGAATATCAACTGTAATCACTTATTTCGTAAATAAAAGCACTTTTTTATTTAGTTTCATTTCATATGGAGTTCACAAATTGTTAGAGGCGCTATTATGCTTATAGTTTAAACTAATCCTTAAAAATATTTATCTGCTATGCATTTGTAGTTGTTATTAATTTATGTTATCCTAACAGCCACGAAATATCAAGGAGTAAGATCCTGGGCTACATGTGTACTATGTGTACAGGATAGTATAAAAACTAAATTGACAAGTTAATAAAATAAAATCAAGATACAAATTGGATCAAAGTTACAATTATTTTCTTAACCGAAACAATTCAGATTTGGCCTCTGTCATTAATATTTTTTCTCGGACTTAAAATACACCTATGGTAAAAAAATGTATATCATATTTTGCTCACCATAAACATGTTGTAGTTCCTTCTCTGTGGATAAATTATGCACCTCAGACCCCGCAGTCAGGCTATATATGCTCCGTTATCAATCGGTATACAGTAGTTGATGAATCCTTCAGTGGTATCAGATTACATTCAGATGGGTTTAATCGTTTTTAAGATTATTTTTAAGATCCATTTTCTATATAACTTGTATTACATACCAGTACAAATTCCTTCCACTTGTCAATAATCGTATGAATCAATGTTCTTAGTCATATGGGATAGTATATAAAACCATTTTTTGGGGTTTTGAGACAAATAAAACATTAATTGGAAATAAATAATGGAGCAACGTTATCAGGTTGAACATTGACAGAACCTTAGATATATGATGATTTATGTTTGTTTATATAGCTAGAAGTAACAAGGTGATTATGATAGTTTGAATTGACACTTGGGAATAACACCTATAAGGAGATGACATGATAGATAAGCGGTCATCGGATAGACAGTCAATTAAGTCGATTGACCCAGAGTTCTATCAGTATATATAAATCCGTTTGAAGAGTTCAAGGCACTCGTCTAGGCAGAGCTGCTCTTCAAAACACTACAATGGACAAGGTAAGCTAAGTGTTGAAAAATGTTTTTGAAAAACGTGGTATGGATATTAAAAATTGTAAGAGGATAGTCCATAAGTATTGATATACTATTAGCAAATTGATAGGCAATAGACAAACCATTTTTATAATGAATTATCGAAAATCTTTCTCGGTAAACCTAGGTTTTAGGTTGAGGTCTCAATAACTTTTATGTTTAGTACAGTACTCTGCTATTAAAAATCATTAAGTACATTTACTTCTATGTTTAATAGTGGGAAATTCCAAATTTTGGAATCAAACTAAGTTTTACTACCATTGACTACTATAATTATTCAGGCTATTGCAATCTGAAATTTTATTTCTGTACACTTTAAGATTGTAACCACAATCTTTACATACAAACACTAGAATCATAATATTTCATAAAAGCCTAACCCTTTTCTGCTAAATTAAACTATTATATAAATTAGTAACAAAGAATTTGGCAGGAATAAAAATCACCAACAGTTGTGTACCAATTATTAGTTCTAATTAATGATCAATACATAGTACAGGGAGTTTTTTATATTTTAAACTCAACTCAAATTACAAGTACAGAGAATCACTGTTTTGGGATAAAATGAGCTCATTGGTTGGCAGCACTGCTTAATTTACTTTTTAACCAGGATATGACAATTTTAAAGACAAATAATACAACTTTTTTGCAGAAAATTCCTTTTTACAATCCTAAATGGGTTATATTAGAAAAAAAACTGTTTAGAGTCTTATTAACAATAAATTCTGATTAACAGATATAGCATCGGCAACAATGCAACAATGCATGTAAGCTGATTGGTAATGAAGTAAAAAAGCAGGGCTGCCAATACATATTGGCTTTTGTTTTGGCCCTGGACAGTGAATTCTTGAAATTTGGGTTGTCTTTATTGAAACACCCTAAATAAGACTGCATTAAAATAATGTACTTTTAATTTTATTGAATATATAGAAGTGTGCATATAAACTGTTAAAACCCTTGAAAATAAATTTATACGTAGCTACTATGTAAAACGATTGATATAAATTATAAACCAGAGCTTTATTTCAAACCGTAGCATCCCAATAAGTATCAGGTTCAAATATGTCCGTTGCCAAAAAAAAAAAAAAAAAAAAAAAAAAAAAAAAATGCCAAAGATAATTATAAACACTCATGGTTTGTTATCTTTGTCGCTAAGTCCGATTGAAAGTTTTCAAGCAAATGTTGCTTTCACTTAGATACATTCTAACCTTGATAAAATTATGTTCAGTTCTTAAAGTCATTTTAAGACTGCGTAAAACCACAATAGAAACATTTTATATACACTTGTATAAAATCTTTTTTATTTCTAATTGTTTTAAAAATCTATCTGTTTGCAGATAGTGATTGTAACCCTTGCACTGTTGTCAACTATTGAGGGAGCTTTCATCCCCGGTGACACCCCCGAGGTGGCCCTAGCCAAGGTAGCTCACTTTGCCGAACATATCAAGGAGGCGGCAAGGGCTGCTGGGCATCAGCCTGCCCCGACCTACTACGTGTCTGTTGAGGAGAATGGTGGATATGCCAACGCTAGAATGCCGGTTACTTACATCACAGACCCTGCTTCAAGAATGCCTGTGGCTTACGCCTCAGCTCCTGCAGCTGTTACTTACGTTCCGGCATCTGAAGCCGCTGCAAGAATACCTGTTACCTACATTTCAGCTCCTACATATGCTTCCTACGCCCCCACTTCAGAAGCGGCAACAAGGATGCCTGTATCGTACATATCTGGAATGCCAGTAATATACGCTCCAGCTCCTGTAGCAGCTGCCACTAAGATGCCAGCTCCGATGATGCCAGCTCTGATGATGCCGATGATGCATCAGGCTGACATGCACGATCACGCTAGAGCCGCGGCCGCAGCAGCAGCAATGGGTTCAGCAGCGTCTGCAGCTGGAGCAGGGTTCCCATATGTTGACTTCTATAAGTCCTTGGCCGACTACTATGCTTCCACTTCCAATCACCCTATGAGCTCTTCGGTATAATATATCTTTGAATAAGAAAATAAACAATGCTTATTAAATCAAGTTCTCTGCACACTTTTATTTTCTTTAAACTAAAAAAAAACATCAAGTGCTAAAAACAGGTCAAAATAATGGTTAAGTCCAATTACTTATTTAATTAGAATTTTCGTTCATACAGAATGTTTTTATCCAAACAACCCAAACTTCACTGTTCTGTCTGAGAGTCACTGTTAACAGACATCAGATGTTCACAATCTTGAAGCCATTCTTCCTCAAAATCATTGCCAATTAGGTGATATAAATTTTAGGATTGTTGTTTATACAGTAAATGTTATTGGAAATTAATTTTGAATAATATTCAGCATGCCGTTCTCTCAAACCTAGCCCATCTTTAAGATGGATAACAACAGACGAAAGAAAAGATTAGTATTGTATAATTGATAGTCTTTATACTTCATACAACCTGAAGCTAATATATTAGTTACAGGAATCTCGCTTAAAAACTTGTTACCAGACATTTGTTGGTATAAAATGGATAATTTACTTTGTTATGCATTTTTTCACAATGCATACTCTTTGAGCATGTGGTAACACCATGTTGAGTCTTATTTACAATAATTTCCCAAAAAATTCATCCGTCTAGTTAACTATTCTAAAGTCTATATTAACTTGATTTAATAATAGACCATAATAAAAAAGAAGTTAGCACATAATTACTGAAAGGGGTTGTGGAGTTCAACGCTCTCCCAATGCTTCCTATAGAATCCTCGTGCTGATTTCTTACAACCAAAAACGTACTTTCAATGGCATTGTGCATTAAACCCATGTCCAGTGTAGATTTATAAAAAAAAAAAAATCTTTAAACCCTTTGAAATGCGTTTATAGGAGACACAGGTACATTGCACCAACGCCTTATCTACGTGTATAATTATGTATATTTAATTAATATAGACCTACGCGGTTCACACTTTAGTATTTTAATGCTGTGAAAGTGGAAATTACAATACTTGATGTTACTTTGATGTTGTACGAGACACATTGCACATGTATATATTTGTACAATCTTACAAGCCTTACAGCTTTATAATATATTTCGTAAAATGAGGAAGAGTGTAACTCTTCTATCTCTCCACAATACTTCAACCTTCTACTTCATGTTTAAAAATGCAGCAATCGTTTAAAAATGAATGGGGGTTTGTAACAAATCATGTCATGCTTATTTGGGCGGATTAATACCCTTTGCATACCCAGGGTTCGAGACATTTGGTCAAGTAAAACTCTTGCAAAGTTTTTTTTTGTTACCGTTGATGGGTAAGTGAGCCTAGTTCAGCGTAACTAGACAGGATCTAGCTGCACTGTCAGTCAGAACTCTCTGTCATCTGACGAATATATTTGCGTCAAAACAATGACGACCATGTCGATCGACAGTTCTGGTCGATTTAGACAGGACCCTTATTCAGCCTCAAAAGGCTATACAGATTCCACAGCTTGGTTAGACAGTTTTTGATAAGGCTACACTCACTGCACAATAGAGTGCCTTTATAAGCGATAGGATAAAGTCCGGAAAGAATGGGGACGGCATCGAAAACGTACCACTTGGGAACCATTTCCCAAGAATCTTTATGATTTCGCAAACTCCAGAATTGCTACCAGGAATTAGGACATAGATTTCGTGAAAACCCCTAAGAATTCAACCAAGTAACACCTATGTAGAGCCTGGACTCAATTATCACCAAAAAATTACGAAAGAGCGTAAAGAACTTAGACAAATAAGAGCTTACGAGGATGAGGTACATCTCATCAACATTTGGGCGTCGAACGACCGAAGAAAATTCTTGGGCTAGCTTTAATCCATTAAGGAGATCGACTCTTCGAATACTTTCTGAGGAGTGTCGTTCCAAAGGTGCGATGACAGCAAGGCATTGTGTAAACCCAGAATGCAATGGAATGATTAGTGGGCTATGATAAAATTATGTATATCCAATATAAGGTAATATTTTTGACACGTTCCATGAGAGTATCTAACATAACCGAGTAAACAGAACCGTGTACAACAGCAAACAACAAGGACGGTTAAGGCTGGGTGGTGTATTAATAGCAAATTTAAGGCTATTTTCCTTCTTGTTGATTGCCGCAAGATAGGAACTATTCAATTATAATTATTAGTGTTATGATAAAATAGGTTCGTTATTATAACAAATAACAATTTGGATAACATGATATTTTAATAATGAATAACGAATAATGAATAATAATAGTAGTTTTATATATTACTTAAAACAATAAAACTCATTGTATTTATGTAGTTCTACATTGGCGATGAACACTTTGACATTTCGTAATTTTTAAGGGGATTTAAATAGTTATTTGTGTAACTAGTTGGCAAAAGCAGCAAAGTCAGTATACACTCGCGTTACACATTATATTTTTCCTACAGTTACTATAAAGCATATAAATAATTAGTCCCACAACACGTTTTTAGGTTAGGTTAAACCCAAATATTGAACGGAAGGGAAACGCTGCACCAGCTGATTACCCTACTAATATTATAAATGAGAAAGTTTGGATGTATGGATGTATGTTTGTTTGTGACAAGTAAACGCGAAAAATACTGGTCGGATTGGGCTGAAATTTGGTATGATGATAGCTCACATTCCCGATTAACATATAGACGCATTTTTATCTCAGAAGTCCTTTTGGGCTCCGCCCCAGTGGCTCTGGAGTTTCCCATGTTAACCTTATGAGTATTCATACTTAAAAGAAATAAAATAATTCTGTCAGCTGCTTCAACTACACAAGTTGGTTCTATGATATTGAATAGCATTAAAAAGTTACAAGGGTTACCAACAGGGTGCAGTACTATTATTTTTGTACATTTATGGAAACATCTCTCATATAAAGGCCATAAAGGTTAAATTTTGTTTTTAAAAGGCTTATGTGTAACTATTTTATCAACAGATGTAAAAATCAAAATATTTCTATTTTGTGTTCTCTTCCCGTTGCAAAGCACGGGTACAACAGCTAATCTATATAAAGCCAAAAGTACCCATAAACTTTTGAGAAAACTACAAGTCACACCCCCATCAACCATATACTTATAATGTTCGTCATGGCGATAAACCTTGCGAAAAACTGTCATTATTTTCATAAATTGCCCTTTAAGGTCGTAATTCATTTCTAAAGGGAACTTTTCGTATACCTAATGTTAAAAATACCTCATCTGTACTTATTTGTTTGTTATTGTTTCAATTTATTACCTTATTAAAATCAGGTGTGATTGCTTGTTTCTTTTACTGTATTTTGTTCATTTCAGGTTAACTTTACCAATCAATAGTTTTATAAATACTTATGATGTCAAACGGGGTGAAGCCCGTTGGTAACAGCTATTATTCATAATATCTTTTCTTGCCAACTTATTTCCAAGCATATACGTATTACATTCCTAATAAAAGGACGCTTTCTTTTTGGAGTTGTTTGGTTGGAATACTGGTATGCGGTAAAAATAAAATGTGCAGCAAAAGTAAAAGGTTTATGTAAAAGTAAGTAGATGCAGCAATAAGCAACTGTCTGTGCTATAATTAGTGCAAAGAAGGCCACTTTGTCAGGTAACTGTTGTGAGCAAAGGCCATTTGCGCTCGTGTTACACATTATATTTTTCCTACAGTCACTATAAAGCATATAAATAATTAGTCTTTCAAACACTATAATACACAACACGTTTTGAGGTTGGGTTAAATCCAAGCGTTAAACGAAATGGGAAATACTGCACCAGCTGATTGTAGTTGTAGTATCTTTAAGTGTTATTTATTTTCAAGAGTACACGTAAAAACAGTAATAATCAGTATAAACAGAATAATAAAGTAGATTGTAACTTTTTGTAACAATTTTGTAACTTTCTTACTTACGCACCAAAAGGAAAACAGTTCGTATGCTCGTTCATAATTTATTCTTGATTTTTAAGGTAACAGGTTTAATGAACCATGTTTTTCAGTTTCTGCTATTTCTTCTAACCTACACATATATTCACAATCACTTTCATTGAGCTCATTATTTTTAAACATGGTAGGGTCACTTATAATTCATCTTTCAAACACTACACTTTAGGTTATATTCAAACCAAGCAACCAACCGTTGAACGAAAATAGAATAAAAATAAACACGAAATGACAGGTTAAATCGAAGTATCAATATTCAATCAGTATCGTCTTTAAGTGTTGCCAATCTATTTTCAAGCGTACACGGATTGCGTGCATGATAAAACCACGCTGTTTTGTGTTGTTTGGTTGGAATATTGGGGTGCGCCAAAGTATAAATCGTGCGGCAAAGTATAAACGGTGCAACAAAGTAAGTAAATGCAGCAACTTGCAGCTTTCTGTAGCATAATCAGTGCAAGGAAGCCAACTTTGTCTGGTGACTGTAGGAAAACGGAATTTTATTTGCAGAAACAAAAATAGTTTATAACTAACAGCTGTTTGTCATTGTTTACTAAGGCTGATTATACACGCACGAAGACGATTAACGTAGACTTGCCAATGTTACTTGCTGTTACGTAAGGGATTGTGTAATAAATACATGAAAAATTTTTAGAACCGTTGTCTGAGAAAATGAAACGTCCGGAGTGTGAAGTCATCTGGTAATACCAAGACTTATCAACATAATGTTTTTTTACTAATTAGAGTCTTGGCCACCAGCGGGGGTGAGCGCTTGGCCTTGAGGGGAGCTATTTAAGCCACACCAGGGGGATGATAGGCACTGTCCGTGAGTCCGTGCTGTGAACGAACGCAACAACATGAAGTGCCTGGTGAGTCTCTCTCTAACTTTACTAACACTTTTAGTATCGGCCTAGTTGGCTTACAAATGTCATCATAACTACCAGTATGATATTATCTTAACAGTTTTGTAGTTCAGATATAAAATGTAGTTTTAATATAATCAAAATATAAAAAAAACTAAAAGACTTAATTTTCTTTCAACGATTTAAACCACTTGAATCAAAATACTATATTATTTTGGCTATTTTACAAGTGTTAAGCTGATAGTCATTATTAGAAAAATGTACTAACTAAACTATATTTGAAGTAGTGAGTTTAAATGAGACTTATTTACTTGTTTGAAAACAGTGTTTCAATTCGATTTGTTATTTACATATACGTGTTAGCAAAACATTGCAATTTTAGGGAAGAAACGAATTCAAACCAACATTTAGTATAATACAATTTTACATTTTACAACATTTTATTTTTTACTTTACTCAGACTAAAAATGTCGATAGAAAAATGTAAAATAAATCAATATATTTAGAGCTAAAATTCGTTTAAGGTTGAGGATAACAATAACACCAATACAATAAAAAATCCCAACGAACTTTTCTTCTGTTTAAATAATTTATTGTATAACCATAACAAATATAACGACGACTAGTTAAAACCAAATTTGAATTAATTTAAATGGTATTGATTGCTATGTAATTTAGCACAAAATATGTCTTATGTTTGAATTAAGATAGCGAGGTAAAGATATTATTAAGATTAAAATAAGTATGATTAATATAATTGGTATCAAAATCAGTTTATTTTAAATGTAAGCCCACAAAATATGGTATTTATAAAGATAGAGAGTCAGTAAAAAAAGTATTATATAACTTGTATTATTCAACTCACATTTGAGCTCAATAGTCAGGCATAATTATAATAAATATTAATATCAAGTATTTGTTGATAATGTGACTAAGGAATTTAAACATTTGTTTAATAACCTAATAGTGTAAGATTGTTGCTGTGTATTGTATTTTTTCTATAGAAAATCTACTCCTATAAGTTGAGTTTCAATATTTTTCTTTCTTTTTTATATAAAACTTAATACAGTAGCACATTAAAACAATGCTAAGGAATTAGAAAATAATATAAACATCTTATGCAAAACTCAATCAATTAGTACAATCACCATCATACGTTTCGAGATAAAACAGGGAAATATAAAATTTTAAAAATAACGTTAAAAGAGTTTTTGACAATTAATTTACAAATCATGTCATACTAAGCCTCTGATACAGGACGGTTCACCCTGTTTATTGTTTTACCTATAAGCTGTAAAATAAAAGTGCAGGGACTTTTTTGTTTAACTACGTCAATAAAAAGTTGACATTGAAATCCTGAAAAGGTTGTGGATGCATAAGCCTTCAAAGCTTTTAAGTTATAACATAATTATCCAATTAAAAAGTTCATAAAGTGCAATATTAACGTTAAGCAAACTTTGCAGGAAACTAATAAGTTAAATATAGTTTTTAAGAATTCTTATTATCATAGTAATTTACTTTAGCGTATTTTTTAGAATTACCTCAAAACTATTTCTTGGTGACATACATTACAGCAACGTAAAAAACTGAAAATCTAAATTTCTTCTTTTTAAGATGACTACGACAAAAGGTTTTGTGAGAATTATTGTGTTATTTTACCAAATTGAAGGATATTCTTGGTTATGGTTTTATACATTCGTTTTCGTATCCTTTCATAATATTATTTTACCATTTAAATTATAGTGAGCCAATTCTAAACTTATATTTCATATTTACTAATAAATATTTATTTATTCATATTATTACTAACAAATAGTTTTCGCCTTTTGCTGTAAACCCTCTACTAAGAATGTAGGACAGCCAATGCTTTATAACTCACAATAATGATTTGCTGCACAGTCATTATGAATAACCAACCTATATACTGGCTAACTAGATACGTTTTCAGATGATCCTTGCCCTCGCCGCCGCGGTTCACGCGCAGTCCTTCCTCCCCCAGGACTCTCCAGACGTGGCTGCTGCTAAGGCCGCTCACTTCGCCGAGTATGCCAAAGCCGCCGCGCTGGTAGGAGCTCCTCTGCAGGAAGTCTACAGGACGGCTGTGTCTTCTCCATTTGCTTCCTTTGCCCTACCGACTGTCACCCCCCAGGGCTTCCTCGTCGACACCCCCGAGGTCGCTGCTGCTAAAGTCGCCCATTTCGCCGAGGTAGCCCGAGCCACTGCTGCCGCGGCCCCCGCTATCACTCGCTTCAACGATGACCCCAACGCTGAGTACTACCGCAAGTACTACGAAAACTACTACCGCACCCACGCTCAGCAACCTCACCAAACCCAGCATGTGTACACAGGCCCCCAGGCTGTGCCTACTGTGCTGCCCAGTGGATACCTCGCTGACACCCCTGAGGTCGCACACGCCAGAGCCACTCATCTTTACAGACTCTACCAGGAGTCTACCCGACAGTGAAGTGCAGTGGTAGTTGGTTATGAAACACTCTAATACCAGTGACACTTACATAATACCGCACCTAACTTAGTGTCCTACATAATCAAGACTGTTTGCCCTGTTATTTCAAAAGGTTTCGCACTAGTGAGATGTACAATAATGTTGATTAGGCCAGTTGTAGCTTTAAACAAATAAATTGGTGTATATAAATTCTATAAAGCACATTATTATCTCACCATTCAAAAACTCGTAAAAGAAATACAATGGGTAAGGATTAAAATAACTTCCAGAAACAGTTATTTATTAAGATTAATACCAACATTTGATAACAAAGGTTTAACTTATGGATTTGCAAGTCAAGCATTGGCATTTTTAAGACATTTAGAAATTAATAATTAAATTAATTTAATTATATAAGATAAAGACACTGACTAACCAGACTGCGAGTTTTAAGTTCAAGTAACAAAGTCAAAGTCTAAGTATTTTTTATTTCCAAAAAATATTTTTACAAATTTGATTGAAATATAAAACCATTTCTTAGCATGTATCTTAAAACTACAAACGACAACGTGATGATAACATGATGACCATCTTAGGTGTTGACTATTGGCTAAGATCAGTTGATTATAAAGCATCGAGTGCAACTTTTGGTTATCTGACTTACCTCAGGACCGTAATTGCTATCTTCTATAACCTTACATGTGCACAGGTATTAAACACCAATATAGCATAACATGTATGATTATTTATGGGATTTCCTAGTCTGGATTGAGCCGTCTCTGACTTGGGTATGAAAAATGCCGCTGCGAAATTGGAAGACGCACATTGAAGGGTTTGGGTTGATTCCCTTTATTAATAAATTGGTAATCATAGGAGGTTTTATTTTGTTGTTACTTTTAGTTGTAGATTATTACCAAACGACGATTACCAACGCTATAGGCTTACGCTTAATCACTCCCTTCTACAACAAACAAAAATGCGGAAAAACGATATCAATATTTTATTAAATTGAGTTTTTCTACTCAAAGAAAACATAGCTTGGTTTGCTACTACTGTAGTTCGCATCCAGGTCTTGCCATGAGTACTACGGTAATAGTTTATTCCCTTTATGGGAAATTCGCTAAAAATTGATTCGATTATATAGATTTTAACCTAGTGTGAGCCGTTACAAAATTTACAGGGGGTCTCTAGATTTGAAAAGCTGTAAGTTAAATTTAACTTCTGAGATTTTCAATTGGCTGCAATTTTTTACTGGATTGAGATAGAGACCTCTAGTTTGCGTTGTTTGTTTTCTGTTACAAGGACCTTCCAAATGAGGGATCCTTCACTCGAATGGTCTTACCATTTGACATTTTTGAGTTTCCTCCAAAATCCCCCATTTTGGGGATGTACACCAAGTGGCGATTATGCCCAAAAAGTGCTTCATGTCATGCCATAAAGGTGTGCCGAGTTTAGTTTTTATAGCATGGGCCGTTACAAATTAACAGGGGGTCTCCAGACCTTTTACTAACCCTGTATATATGTCACCTAAATTTTTTCAAACAATTATTTTATGATCTAACCGTAGAACTATTGCATTAACATGAAAAATTAATATATCTCATCCTAAATTCAAGTAAATGGATTTTAATAGATAAAATACTGTGCTGTTAGGTTTTGAATTCATTTGCTGTTCATTATTTTACATTTATTATTTACTATTCATTCATTTAGTCACTGTTCATTTAGACGGTTACAAACAGTTGTATAGGTATACAAATAGCTGTATTTTAGTAGTACTGTTGTCCTCTGAATGAGTCAAGAGAGCCGCTATTACTCCGTGTTCAACAAGTAAGTAACGTGTTTGCTAAGTACACCTCAAGTATGTTTGCTAAGAGTGAGCAAGGTACGCGACAGGTCCGATGTACTGAGGAGTCCACACGAACGCCATTCTGAAGCTGGGAGGGATGCCAAAAGGTTCCAAACCATCCGAAGGGCCTTGACACTCAGGTTACGTGTCACTGCTTCATCCTAGTGGCGGCCACCTCGGAGGTGTATGAACCCCTCTGGAGTCACTACGGGCACCTCGATAGAGAGAAGACCGCAGGGGCGGTAGAGGTTCTGGGTAGTCTTGCCAAGAGAGGCCAGCCAGTCTGACCATTATCTGAGAAATGCACACAAACACAGCCACATTTCACCCGACTACTTAGATTGTTGTATACAGGACATATAACATTGTTATATATCTGTTAAATTACTTAAAATGTTACTAAGCTAACAATTAGTGAGTCGGTGGCTCAGTCGGTAGCGTCGCGGACTTCGGGCCCAAGGCAGCGATGTCGTGGGTTCGGATCCTGGTCACTGCCGATAACATTTTATCAGTACAGTTCACCTTTGTACTGTACCGGCTCACTCCTTGCTTTGCTGTAAACGATCCACGCACGGGCGCTTAGTCTATGTGGACGGGCAAATGCAAGGTTAAAAGAGGCCGCCAACCTCTTTTATTAAAAAAAAAAAAAATAATAATTAATGTTTTTAGCGAATTTCCCTATAGGGAAGTAGCTATTACCGTAGGTGGCACAGTAAAACCTAGGCCCGGGACCGATTTACTTTTCCATTTTGATGTCCCCAGAGGCCAAAAACACCATTCGTTCAAATTTTTATATATGTATATATATATATATATATTTTAATAAATGAAATAAATAATTAAATTAAGAAAAAAATTAAGAAACAAAAGAAAAAAGAAGAGAAATTGAAAAAAGAATACATATGTCTCCCTCATAACTCTAAATTAAATAAAGCAATAAGGAAAACCTTATCTAAAACAAATTACAAAGCAACATATAGAACAAAAAACAACGTCTTTAAGATTATAAATTCAAAAGTGTCCAAACATCAACAAATAACTGAAGAATCATCAAAATTTAACAAAAGCGGTATTTACCAAATTTCCTGTACAGACTGTAACAAGTATTATATTGGCCAAACCAGTAGAAGCTTCAAATGTAGATTCCAAGAACATATACAGACATTTAAATCTAAAAATTCAACAAGTATGAAATCAAACTACGCAGAACACCTAATAAAAACTAATAATAAATATAAAAATATAGAAAATAATTGATCAATAATTGAATTTGAACCAAACAAAGCCAAATTATTCATTAAAGAAGAATTCCACATATATAGAAACCATAAAACAGATCCTGAAAACATACTTAATACAATGCAAATTCAAAAAGAAAACATAATATATGAGAAAATCTTATATAATAAATCAAAAGAAAACAACACTTAAGCCAACCTATATACTAGACAAAATTCCAAAATCATATAATAATTTACATATTTATTATTTACATTTCTATTTATTTACTATTTGTTCATAACTGTGATCATGGCCTAAGAGCCGAAACATGTAAGTTTATTCAATAAATTAATAACTTAAAAAAAGGGTACTAAATGTTTAATTATTTATTTCATTTATTAATAATAATAGTAGCCCTCAATAGTGAACGATATATTTATTCAATATATATATATATATGTATGTATATATATTTATATATACAGGGTGAGTTTTAATTGTCCCCCCCCCCAACTTTTTTCTACATTTTTTCAAATATCAATCCCAGACCACTTCCAAACATTGTTGGGTAGTAAGTACTTCATTTTGACAAGGTGGTCATTTCCGGCCGCCATCTTGGATCCGCCATATTGGATGCAAAATTTTTTTTTTCAAAAGTAAAGGTGGGGTTGTGACCCATTATTTCGAACTACATTTTTACCCTGATTACAATGCCGCAAACCGTTTTTAAAAATCTTTATTCATTCTAAAGTTACGAGGGCTTTTTAAAACTTTATTTTTAGCCCATTTTAACATTGTGCAGTTACAAACTAAGACCATAATCCCAAAATAGTCCTAGATAATGATAAGTATACACTACCAGTAATTGTCCACCTATTTTCACTTGGTTATGACTGATGTATTTTTTTCGGCCGCCATCTTGGATCCGCCATTTTGAAATGTGATAAATTATTTTAAACATGAAGGGGGTGTTGTGACCCATCATTTCGAACTACTTTTTTAAGTTGAACTTAATTCCATAATCCGTTTTTCATTTTCATTTTTTGATTTTGAAATATTGACATTTTTAACAAAAAAATTTCAATATTTCATAAATAAAACTTGATAACAAAAAATGGATTGCGGCATTGAGTTTAGCATAAAACATTAGTTCAAAATGATGGGTCACAACACCCCCTTCATATTTAAAATAATTTATCACATTTAAAAATGGCGGATCCAAGATGGCGGCCGAAAAAAATACATCAGTCATAATCAATTGAAAATAGGTGGACAATTACTTGTAGTGTATACTTATCATTATCTAGCACTATTTTGGGATTATGGTCTTAGTTTGTAAATGCACAATGTTAAAATGGGCTAAAAATAAAGTTTTAAAAAGCCCTCGTAACTTTAGAATGAATCAAGATTTTTAAAAACAGTTTGCGGCATTGCAATCAGGGTAAAAATGTAGTTCGAAATAATGGGTCACATTCCCACCTTTACATTTGAAAAAAAAATTTTGCATCCAATATGGCGGATCCAAGATGGCGGCCGGAAATGACCACCTTGTCAAAATGAAGTACTTACTACCCAACAATGTTTGGAAGTGATCTGGGATTGATATTTGAAAAAATGTAGAAAAAAGTTGGGGGGGGGGACAATTAAAACTCACCCTGTATATGTGTCCGTGAACGCGATAACTTGAGTATTTTTTGTACGATTTTGATGAAATTTGGTTTGAAGGTGTAAGGCAAGATAAACTTGAATGAGTTCGCGAACCAGCATGATCGGACCATGGGAACGGGGTTTCCCGGTGGGTTTTATGGGGTAAAAATTGGTTTTTCTCATTTTTGACCCCCAAAACACAAAATTTCCCAATTTATCTCTAGACCATATTAAAGAGCTTAAAAAACAAATAATTTAGTATATCAAAGTGTTTTGTACGGTTATTGGTAACGGAGAAAATTCAAAAAATTGTAAATTAAAAATTCCCATGTTATTCTTATGGAGAATATTGAAAATGTTGTAGTTTGTTTGTTTATGGATATATTTTGATAAAAATAAGCAAATTTATTTATTTTATACTAAGCTATTAATATTTTACTAAAACACACTTTATTAGTTTCCTTCTGGCAGCAAACCTAGGTACTCGTTAAACCTAAATAGATTCAATTGAAAATCATTCAGAGAAATGGAAATTCGCTTAGTCGGCAGGTTTGCTGCGGCGGGGGTATTTTACTAATTATTTGAAAATGTGTGTTTTATGTTTATCACTAAGGAAGGATGATTAACACAGGAAAATTATAGTTAATCTAAATTGATCCATGTATTTAGGAACCCGCTTTAATTATGTTCTTAATTAATACCATTACTGAAGGATTATACCAAATTTCGTTATTTTGCCTACATGGTTAGTAATACCATCCATATGAACCAGTCCAAAATTAAAATACAAAGGAACATAATTAAATTAATATGTGGTATACCAGCGACAAATAATGCAGTTACAATAAAGTTGGACAACGTTCTCAATGGTGCATTAATTTAATAGCTATTAAATGTTCTACCTAGTCTCATTTACATGTTAACATGTTCATGCTCATTCCTTTATTTGCTGGATGATAATAATATCAAAACTATCAAGGTTTTTGTTTAAAACACAAGCCACACAATAAATGTTTATTTTATTTTAAGCCCATACACTTGCCATTATAAAATTTAAATATACTTGAAACCTAGTGAATCGGATTTTTAAAAATTAGAAACACTTCGTTGAATTTATGTGATCAATATTTGAGTGATTTTACAACATACTGTTCTAACCACCCGACAAACTCAAGTCGGTACTTTAAATCGGGTTCAAAGTCGGGTTCAAATATTAATGTAGTAAAAAAAAACACGTTTATAAAAGTGTTTTTATTTTGTGGAAGATTATATAGTGGTTAGAGCGCGGGACTCTGGTTCATGGGGTTCCGGGTTCAAATTCCACCATATCACCAATGCATTTTATCTAAGTGATAATGCCGTAACCCCTAGGTCTAGCCTGAAGTAATAAAACGATTCCTGGCTCGTGACTAGCGTCCTACGACAAAAATAATTTTAAAAAGCGTAATATATATATATATATATATATATATATATATATATATATATATATAATAACACTAAGTTGTCAGGATATTTAATTGGATTATCTTTAAGTTGTGTACACTTTATGAGGCCTCATATGGCTAAACTAGGCTACACGAATCTACATTATTTTATTTTACGATTTGCAATAATACAATAAAGCATCTGAGGCTATATAGTATATTTACAACGGGCTTCCAAACAGCTCATCTCGACCTTAGATAGGCAAGAGCAATGACCTACTGGAGTTGATATGGCAAAACTATTATCTAAAAAGAAAACAAAATTGACAATACAGTTACACAACAAAATATTAAAAATAAATATAATTCCTACTTTAGTGACAACAACTCAACCACAATCGTATGAATATTATTATATTTATTTATTCCACGGTTATTGAATGCATTGTAAGATAGGTCGATAACAGCAAGGTTTAGTCCAAATACCACCAAATGGATGAGCAATGTAATGATGTCACTAAAGGATATCATTTATCGTCATGTACCAACTAATTTTTAAGAAGAGTGAACTACACTCATCGGCCACTGTCACTGTGGTCAACATATAGCTTACCCTGATTGATAAAATACTGTCCAATAAGGAAGACTACATAACTTCGTGCTACTGACTCTGTTATAAAGCCTATAGTGTGTGAACAATCTTATGGCAATGAAAAAAGAAATATATTTGTTGTTTTGCATAATTTCCGCATGGAATTGGTATAAATAGTATATGCCAGAATTTTCTGCAAACCCTATGCATAACACTCTCTTTACTGTGATCATTTTAGGATGGTGAGTATTTTCTTTATAGGGTTGGGATTAATATTCCCAATATAACCAGCCTTCATACACGTTCCTTCAATAATTATAGTTTTGTAAAGAAAATAACTGTGAACGGCCATGATAAGGTGGATGCCTATTCGAAGATTCAGGTGATGATGATTGGGTTATAAAAAGTTCTCTCTTAGATTAAAAAAATTTCCTAATAATAGTTTAACAAATTGAAAAATCTACTTCATATGTCTAGATGTTATTATTTTTGTTTGATGAATTAATGTTGCTGTATGATATTATTTACTGACATTTAATAGCAACCTGCGTCACTTCGTGATTTCAAAATCCGTGATATATTTAATATATATAGTTGATAAGGTTGAAAACGATTATTTGTCATCATACCCTTATTTCTTATTGATGTAAACAAAAATGTAAACTTGAAAAATTCAGATGATTGATAACAGAATTCAGTACAAATTATAAAATTTAAAAGCCAATAAGAGCTTTCACGGGATATCATTCTAACCCGCAAAAGGCCCATCTAGAGGATAAGAGTTTTAAATTGATACTCAATATGCATAAAAAACTAAACATTAGGTTGTATTTTATTTAGAGGTTGATTTGCTGCACACAAAAACCCATAAAATTCATATAATAATATAGACGAGAGGTCGTCCAGTGGTCGAAACTCGACCAAAAATATCTAATGTAATGTACTCACTTATCTATTTTCACCCCACACTGTAAATAAAACATGTGATTGGAGTTTCTTCCATTTGTTTTGATTTTCTGTTTATATTTCGTTGTTATTTCATCACCATGGCAACGCATAAGATCCATGTTAATTTTTTCAAATTTTTAAACTCATTTTTCGTGCTTATCTTTGAGCCTATTTAAATTTATAAAGGGATTCTGCACACCTAGAGGAAAATAGCTTTCTAACGGTATGCGTAGATTTTACCTACGATGCACACGAGCTGAGAAAAAAGGTTTTAAAGAAACATGCTTGCCTATTAATATATAGATAGATTATACCGGTACTGAAACCAGAGTAGCGTCATTGTCAATAACAGACATTGTGTTTTGTATTTTTTAGAGTGACCGAAATTTTCCAAACATTCAGTAATTGTACATTTTTCATTTTACTAAGCGCATAAGTAATTGGATATACACTTTTAAAATGGCATTTGTTGTTATGTATATTTTCCGTAATCTACTATACAATAACCTATCCGTCACTTAATCCTGTTTTTTCCTAATATCAATTTTACTAAAATCAACATATACAACTGTAATCTATTGTTATGTCCATTAAAAAGCTATCTCATTCCTTTAATGTTCTTGAAATTCCACTAATATCTTAGCATTTTTTATAAATGCCTCACATTTCTTCATTTTAGTCATAGACCACTAGACCAGTCTTAGCTGGCTATGATGATCAATTTACCGGTAAGTACAATGGCTTGTATTTATAATATAAATTTTTATTTCATTCAACAATTTTACTTATTGTTTTATTTTACCATCTATCTAGTGAAATTGCAATACACGTCAATTGTAAAATTTAAAAAATGACTTTTAACCCTTAGTAAAGATACCTTAGATACCACTGGTGGCTGCTGCCGGGGTGGCGAGTGGCAGTGGGGGCACCTCGATGTACAGTATTTCAAACTGCAGCTCGTCACTTACCTGTTCTTGGCTTGTAGATTAAACTTAATTTCTGTCCAAGAATATATTATGAAAATTTGAAAATATCTTTCTTTTTCCAATCGAGAAGCTTGCAATATTTGATGTATTTGTCAATAAGAGGAGCACCAAATGTAGTGTACATATCTAAATGCACTAAAGAAGGAGAGAACCTTACATTTAGCAACAATCACAAAGTTCCACTTGCATTATTGCTATACTCGCCGCTCGGACGCCGACCACCTGCATCGCAGCCGAAGCCATTTTCGGAAGATTTTCTTTCAATTTACCTCCTATCAATTTTTAGTGTTTGTCACAAACGGTAATTTTGACTGTTATACATGATCCGTTTCAAAGAATTCTAGTTGAACCTATCTCACAGATTATCCTGATAATAAATGTTAAAAAATATTGGATGAAAATAATTGAATTTTAAATCAAATACTTTGTTGCAGTTATAGGTGCACGGCATTTTTTTACCGAAACAATTGCTAAAAATTATGTTATTATGTTCCTTAGATACTGCTGTTGGTGGCCGCCGTTGCCAAGGCCCAGCCCTACGTTCCCCAGGACACTCCCGAGGTGGCCGCTGCCAAAGCCGCCCACTTGGCCGAACTAGCCAAGGCAGGACTGGCCGCCGGGGTTCTCTTCTATCCCCGGGGTTACGTGTCCTTCGGCGTTCCCGTCGTAAACCCTGACGGCTTCATAGCAGACACTCCAGAGGTAGCTGCCGCGAAGGCAGCCCATCTGGCCGCCGTCGATGCCGCCCGAGCTGCCGCTTCCGCACAAGCCCCTGCCACAAACTCCTACTATTACAACTCATACAGATATCCTGGACAAATATACAGGTATGCTGCTCCTAAGCCAACCTACTACTATTATTCCTCTTCCACTCCCAACGCAAACCCGGCTTACGCTGCTACCTATGCTGCCGCCCCCGCTGCCGCCCCCGCTGCAACTACTGCTGCCGCCCCTGTTGTCATTACTCCAGACGGCATCGTTGCAGACACTCCAGAAGTGTACGCGGCTAAGATGGCACACTTCAAAGCTCATGTGGACCGTATTATGGGAATCTCATAACATTATAAATTTTTTATGATTAAAGCTGTAGTGTTAAGAAATAAACATTAAAAAAGTTATTGTAAAACGGAAAAATCCTACCTAAAATTTTGAGTCCCACTGTATTATCCTTCTTCGTTGTTCTACATCTTATAAGCAAGTTAGGAGATTTTGGTACATTGATTATTTCCGTTTGCAGTTTGATGATCTCGTTGAAATGCATGGTCAAAGTTACAATTAATTAACTACTGCCTATGTGGTGATATGGATTTTTTCAATTACAGGTTTTATACTGCTTGATTTTTACCTCATTTTCCTAATCGCGGCCCTGCTCACGAATATTTAAGTTAAACTTAGTATTTGTCTACTTATGTTAAGCTAAGAGAGGCTGCCCTTCTAACAGGAGCTTTGGACTGCTCGCTCACTCTGAAACCACCTGCATAAAATCGTATGTAATCGATAATTATACATCCAGAAATTGTGTAAACAAGAAAATTACATTTAGTCAAATCATTGACAATGTCAAAGTTCAAAGCAAGGTTCAACAGTATCTGTTTTAATGACAATAGTAAGATAGGCCTGAAGAAGTTTGGATATTTTAAGTCAACAACAAAACGACAAAAAAGGAAAGCATCATACACCAACTAACTTTTAATGTAATATAATTGGCTATTAAGGTAACAATGCTGACAAAAATTAGTTTTTGTCAAAAGTTTTAAAATGCACAATATTCAAAGGTGAAACAGTAGAGGAAATGGAATAAAGAATGAATTATAGCAACAAAAATATTTTATTGCACGGAAATTTTGTTTACAAAAGATTTAGAAAGAGAGAAAAAATATATCACAAGCATTTGAGCAAATAAGACTGGTAAAGTCCAACTGGGGTCTCATCAGCTCTGACTCTACCAAATCACCGGGTCTTACAGTTCGGCCAAAGTTTCTGTGCGCGCGACTAGATCTGGTTGGGTCTAGGCGAGGGGGTTGGCGGGGGTACTTTTGTGAAAACATTTGTGTCGTGCTACTCACTCACCGTAGCACTGCCAATTAATAGCCGGTATCCGTATGTTTTAGTTCGGCTAGTAGCGACCCGTCCACGCGCACAGAAGTTTTGGCCGAACTGTACAGAAGATCAGTCAGTACTTATTTTTGAGCTTGCGCCTTGGCAACCTCAGCGAAGTGGGCGGCCTTAGCGGCGGCGACTTCAGGAGTGTCGGCGAGAAATCCCTCAGGTGTGACCACGGGGATGGCAAAGGGGCCGTAGTAGCCGCTGGCGTAGGGATAGGCAGCGTAGGGGTACGCGTACGGGTAGGCAGCGGGAGCGGCGACCACGGAGACAGCAGGAGCGGGGGCGGCAGCGGCGGCGGCGGCCTTGGCCTTCTCAGCGAAGTGAGCAGACTTGGCGGCGGCGACCTCAGGGGTGTCAGCAATGAAGCCCTCAGGGGTGACGACGGGGACGCCGTAGGAGCTGTAGCCGTAGTAAGGGTAGAATGGGACTCCGACAGCGGCAGCTGCCCTCTGTACCTCCGCCAGGTGAGCGGCCTTAGCGGCTGCGACCTCGGGGGTGTCCTGGGGCACGAAGGGAGCGGCGTAGGCCATGGCAGCCAGGGCAAGAACAATCTGCAGACAAAAATTAAAATAACAGAATACAATTACTTAATTTAAACAAAAAATTTCTAGGGACAGCAATCTGAGTTCGACCAGAATGACATAAAATGGCATCTGTGTTTGTTGTATCCAATTGTCTTATCAGTTTGACCGATAATTGTTTACTATTAGGCTGGCTTGAATATTTGAATCTTCTACTATTTATATGAATCTTATTATAACCTAAAACTTGTAGTGACGTATTTTCCTGGTAGTTTTATTTAGTGTCTATTATAATTTTATTTTATAAAATATGCAATATGTTTACACTGTCAGAAATATTTAAACAACAGTAAACTTATATATAACTTTACTACGCATGAAATGTAAGTACTAAGAAATAAGAATGGACGACCTATGGTTGTATTATTTCCGTTATTTACATTATAGATAAATATTTTATTTTATATTCAGTTTCATTTAATTCTTTCACAAATAATAATGTTTCAATTGGTTAAGTGTGTTATATTAATTATATGATTTTTATAAAGACGATTGCTTGAAGTATTCTGAATCAATTCAAAGTGCAAGTTTACCCGCTCTGGCTCATAACTCTCCAAATTCCTCGACATAAGACATCAGTTTTTAATAGATTATTTTCTGTAACAGCATGTCACCTTTGGAACTCCCTACCCTTCACCACCAGGAGCATAGAATCCCGTTCCAGACTGACGGCGGCGCTGAAAGCGTAATACCTCGATTGGATGACCGTGGCATGGCAGGGATCTCGTGCGTTAGGCCTAGGTGTGGCAAAGAGTGAATGTGTGTGTGTATGCGAATATTAGGGACAAAGATTTATCACTTTAGTTTTTACTTATTATTGTTTTTATAGTTTGAAAAGTGTTACAAAAATGTATTGTTTAGTTTATATTTAGTACATAAGAGGTTGACTGTAAAAAAGGACCATGTATGTGGTCCTAATGTTCACCTCAATAAAAAGGTATTTTCATTTCATTTCAAGTAAAATAAAATACATTATGTATTGAAAAAATGAAGGGCTTTTGAAAGAAAATAGTACATTTCATCACTAGGGTCTAAAGTGGCTCTTTTCAAACCGAGCTTAAGTTTTACAATCAAGGTGAAGCCGAGGTTGGAAAATGAGCGAGGGTTGAAAAGACACTTTTCGCCCGTGTGATGAACTACATATTGCACTATTATTTGAACAAACTATGTTACAAAACTAAAATCATTTTAATTGAAAGATAACCTCTCAAAACTACTTCTAACTCGTTTTCAATTTAATTTGCTTATGGTAACAAGCCGTGGTTAAGTAAGTGGTTCAATTGTTTATTATATTACGATTGTGTCAATGTACACTATCGATTTGTCAAACTACTTACAATGAAGTAACAATTAATTAAATTGATTAAACAATCGATACATACTTTACAAACATGCGATTAAGTTTACAATCGAAATTTATAACTGGGTTGTCAACAGATGATTTTTACTCCCTAGGGGCTAAAAACGCTTTTCACTCCCTAGAGAGTAAATATGCTGTTTTAGAGCTGCAACACATACATTAAAAACGACTGCTGCACTATGACGAAAGTGTGGTTTTGTCACCTTAAAAGACAAGTGTCGTATAAGAATTGTATTATAGCGATTACACAATTTGATCGCACATTAAATTTTGTAATTGAATGGTTATGCCTTGTTTAAAATTGCGTAGTATTTTATACTAGAATAAGTAAACACGAAAGAATTACTGCAATAGTAATTCTTATCTAACTGTTATCAAAAAGAATTTACTAAAGGATTAAACTGAGCGAAATATTGAAACAACCCCACCGCTGCAAACCTGCAGACTAAACGAATTTCCATCCACCTGATTTTCACTAAAATATTTTCCTAAAAATATCAAATGTATTTCCAATTTTGTTATTGGATTAATTAGTACTTAGGTTTTGCTGCTACAGAGAGAATAATAAAGTGTGTTTTTAGGAAGTTAGTGTTTTTGAGTGTGTTTTTGAGTGTTTGAGTGTTTGAGTGTTTTGAGTGTTTTTGAGTGTTAGTAGTTAGTATTAAATAAATAAATTTTCTAAATTTGTTCGACATATTTGATAAACATACAAACTGCAAAAGTATACTCATCCTCCATTACAAGAAGACGGACATTTTTAATTTACAGTTGTTTTAATAATTGACGTAACCATTAAACTTATGTCATCATGTTTATGCTCTACAAAAGGTTTGGAATTATACAAGATTATGTATTAAGCAGCATAAAAAACCAGCTTTTACCACATAGAAAAACTTATTAAAAACCGTTCCTATGGCCTAATCATAGTGGTTCGTGAACTCGGGCCTCTGGAGGCATCAAAATACAAATAAAAAATTGTCTCGGGCTAGGTGTCATAATTTTTTCCCATATGGGAAATTCGCTAATAAATTACGACGAGAAAATGAACAAATAATATGCTTAGTTATTTAGATGGTAAGTAAACAGTTTTATACATATTTTAAAGGCTATAAAAATATTTTCGATGCGTTTCTTAATCATAAGTGGTTATCAGAGAGACATAGAGATGATACTGACCAAGCACTTCATGATGAGTTGAGGAGGTGTCGTCGTGTCGGAGGAGACCAGTGACGAGCTACGCCCCAGGTCAGTATATATAGATGGCCCCAAGGACAACACGCCCTGCCCACCAGCCCCGGACTGCCAAATTGTATATTTTATATAATCGCTCTAGACCCATCCTTCTTAAAGGTGTCAGACTACTTACAGTAGTGTCTTTAGTATAATTATGTAACAGATACAAAAATAACCATCGGCGATAATAAGCGTTTTCCCTTTAATTAAATTCAGAATATGAGTTATTCTCATACTTTTCAATAAATATGTCTTATTAAAATGAATTCTAACAAGTTTAAGGTTATAAAATCCTTCGTTTCTATGTTATATTCCCACAGATATCATGAGGATGATGTCATCATGAGAATTAGGGGTTTCTCTATTCCGTATTCCTAAGAACGTCTTCTTGTATCTATAATAACCTGTTAAGCAATGCAAATAATATTTTGAATGACATTGATGAATAACATAAACTAATATAAACATAATAATACTATTTATTTGGCTACTTTAAAAAGAGTATATTTTATTAGTGTAACAATATAACAACTGTAAGAGTATAACAACACCAACGTGTTTCATTACAGTGTACTCAAAAAGTCTTTTAAAAATAATCACAAAAACAGAAAACATATTAAGGTGTTTGCTTATAATATTTTCATCACATTGGAGTTTATAAACTGAATAGGGGACCAAGGGGGAATAATTTTGTGGCGGGCTAAATTCACCCAATTCCACCTCTCAGTCACATTCCTTACTAGGGAATGAGTGCAAATCTATCCATGCTATCATTCAATTGAGGTGGTGTCCATCTGTGCGCCTATCACGACTAGAATACTAACTGATTTGGCCAAAACTAAGAACAACATAAATCTAGGAATGTCTCAGGCCCATTCAAATAGCCTAACTGATTTCACCTCGGGCTACGCCCGGTGGTTGTCCAGAGTTTTGAGGTTTTCAAAAGTAAATAGTGAGTGGTATCCACGAAAGCACGAGAAAACGTGCAATGTGCTTTCACGCACTTATGCTTGTTTACTTTCAAAATTTCAACGCAAATTTACATTTGCGTTGAAATTTTGTATTTTGTATTTTTGTATTTTTTGATATTTTTAGGAAAATATTTTGCAAATGTAAATTTGCGTTGAAATTTTGAAAGTAAACAAGCAGAACTGTTAAATTAAAATGCTAATTTCCAATTTCAGGCAGCAATTCCAAAGGAATTTAATAATTTAATGTTAGCACAACACAGTTAATGTAGTAGGTTTAGTTTATTTGTTCTAGATTGTGTCATCGATTGAATCAGGAAAGATTTCATTGTGAATCTAGGCTTTGTCTCAGAGTTTTTAATGCGTAATCTTATATCAATGGAAACCGTAGAAAACTGCAAGGTGTACATATTTGGACTAATCTAATATTTTGTTAAACTTAAACTCTAGGTAAATGTTTGGATTAGGCTTTAAAATACGTATTTTTTACAAATCTATGTGAATGTACATTGTTTGAAAATCCAAGAGAACTATTTTTTACACATTAACCAGATTTTACATTAGATTACATTTTAGATTACGGTTTAGTAATAACAATATTGTAATTACTACCTACCACTACTTTTTATTCAAAGGTAGCAACTACCTATCTTTTTTTCTATAATCAACTTTCTATACTGCAACCAATATGATATTTGCTTTCAGGTCTACATGTATCCTAATGCAAAATCTAATGCCTTTATAACTGTGTTACATGCATGGGTTACGATTGAAAGCACTTATGTTGGAAATACTTTTATTTTATCTTAACATAGCTTACACTTCAAATAGACTTAAAAATGCATTTCGATAACTTTGTGTTTGTGTTTTGCAACACCGCTAAACAAATTAAATAAATATAAAAAATGCCATAAAATTAAGTTAGTCAAAGGTTGTACAAAGTGTTCATTTGTTTCTAAAATCAATGCAAGATCTATCTATAACTACGTTTTTTTAATCGATGGTTATTGTGTAAAATGAAAGAATGAACTGCAGTATGAATGGAACTGGTAGAAAGAACTGGTTTGTATATTAGGCTGTTCGTTAATGTTTTTGTAGTATGGAATAAGTGAATTGTTTACTATTGAACTTGACAATATTTGATGTTTTGATAATCATATCATTGTTTTGTTTCTTGCATTATACGTTATTTATCCAATGCTTAATTTCATATTTAAATTAAATAATACTATTATGCACCAATGATACAAATATGAAAGTATTCTTTATTAATTTATTTACTAACAAATCCCAATTGCATTATAGTGTTACTGTTTCGTTGTAAATAAATATTTTCATACTTTATACTTCTGTATAGTATGGATATATTTTTATTATCATTTCGAAACACGCCAACTAAAAAAAAAATGATTTCCAAGGAGTACCACAAGTAAGACAACAATTTGGAGGACCAATCAATCAATCAATCAATCAATTAATCAATTAGTTGCGGACCAAGCAATGAAAGACTTCTCTAGACTAAGATCAACATTAGAAGAGACAAGGGATGGAAGAGAATCGGATGCCAAAATCCGAAAAAGGTTTCAGAGACCACTGAGGTAAAATAAAGTACGGTTTAGTAATAGTATGCAATAGAAGGTGATATATGTAGCAACTGTAATTTAAACCAGTGTGTGTAAACCGACCAATCTCAATTAAAAGCTTTTAAAATCAACACAATCGATGTTTTATTGTAAAATTATCGTATCTAAAATTAATATCGTATAGGCCTATAATCAGATCAAAGAAATTGGCGGTCACGTGATTGATTACAAGATGATTTTCCCTATTAAAACTTCCTTAAAATTTTCTCTATGCTTTTAAACTAGCTGTTTTGAATGATATCCAGTTTTAATCGACTAATTGATTCCCGTACGTAGGACGGGTTCACAGATAGTTTTTATTATTATTTTGAAACACTATTAAAAATGCACATCAATATTGCTGAAGTTTATAACAGCTAATGTTTGTGTAGTCATGATTTGTTGTATGTGGGGTATTTTAAAGATATTGGTGTACCTAAAAAAAATTGTTTATTGAAATTAAGTAATTAGTAGTTTTTAAACTTTAAGATTGAAATAAAAAAAATAAAAAGTAAGAATAAAGTAAGGTAATAAGGAAGACGAAGGTGAATCAAGTATAAACAAATTTTATTCGAAAACTAATCATATAATCATTTAGGTTATTGATTTCATAATAACCTATTTAAGATTTAAAATTAATAAAAAAATATGGTTTCCATTACTTACCAGAATTTAAAGCCATACAATTTTATTAAATAATGAAGTGGTAGAATTTTGTTTCGAAACCAATGGCACATGTGTTACTACACATGTGTTTTACACAACAGATAAAGAACAAAATATCTTCTCTTTCACTTCCCGTTCCCGTTGCAAAATCCGGGTACAGCAGCTATTAGTTAATAAAATCTGCCTTTGGCGGGTATATAACAGTTTCCCAGCACATTTTTCAATCTGGAATCAAATCGTACGCATATTATCTTTACATCGTTCACAAAACGAATTCTTTTTGAAAATGCATTGAACAGAGGTGGCTGTGATTAAACACATAAACACACACGTACATTAAAATTGCATTTTCATGTGTTTAAAAGATATGCTAAAGACTTCAGGTTTCTTTTAGATGACACGTCACTCCATGCAACTAGCAGAGTTGAATTTATAAGGCAGACTCTCAATAAGGTATTTTTTTCAAGACTACATTAATAATTTTCAAAAGGTTTCATCTTTAATATTTCAGTTTCGTGGCTTGAAGGGTGGGTGGTCCACACCATTTTCATATTCCTATAATACGGACTCGTAACCAACAATTATCGTCGTAGCTGTACTTATATGTTCACACGAAAAACAGCAACCAAAATTTTGTTTTATCATGAACATTGACTCTACAATACAAACGCCAGCACTGAATATTATTCTTTGGACTTGTAGGTTTTGTCCTTTCGTGCATAAAATGCACTCTTGAAACTTTTCCTCTAACTTAATATTTAACATATTTAAGTTTTTCTTCATTCATTGAAAAAACCCATCTTGTCCACATTTTAACGTAATTCACAGTCATGGTTTACCAAAAAAGAAAAACGAACATATACAAAAACTACAATGGCGTTTGATTGTACAATATTTTTTTTAATCTTTCGTCTAAATTAATCATACTGTACTGGAATTACATCTGGAAACTAAATTTCGTACATTAAATTATGTTTAACCAATTGTTTACCTGTACTGTATTCTTCTACAGTAAATGAGCTTGTGAAAACACCATGTTGAGTTTTGTTCACAATACATTTCCAACAACACTTAACCTCATGGGTAACAACTATGCAATAGTATTATTGTTCAGCTGGTAGGCATTGAAATAAGGAAAACAGTGGAAAAACAAGGCATCATATGAGCTTTTTTTGTCGTAAAAAACCCTATTACCAACCCAGTCCATTTTATTATGAAATTTGTAGGTATATCTCGATTGGAACATTCTTGTTCTATCATGAGGCACAAGTTTATTAAAATCAATGTTTTATTGGTCACTTTTGTATTAATCCCACATTGATTGCAGGATTGCCCTTCCAGGGCCTACACAATGCCTACATTTATTTGATTTGGAATCAGGTATTTAACCAGGAATCTAATGCTTACAATGCTTTTACAATGAAACTAAAGTGGTACTAACACTAACATTTTACCTCCCTGATATAATAACTAATCTGGTTTTGGTAAAACTAATCAAACAACTCATACCTGAATGATATAATTTCCAATTTTACTATTATTGTTCTTATCATTAAGTGATGAGGGCGCCACCTAGGTGCATATTTTAACCCAAATATGAGTGAAGGATCAGTGTAGAATGTTGTGAGATGATCTCTGTTGGTTTGTTACTGACTAAGATCAACTGCTGCGTCAGTCAGTATCAAGGATAGCTGGGTTCAGTTTCAAACCACCATAAAGCTACTGACTTTTCTCAGCTTCGAACCGGTGACCTTTTGATACTCTTTCTTTCCATAAAAACACCAAAACGGCTTGGTAGCATCATTAATATTTGTTCAAGTTCCCATAATCTCAACCAACTATAGACTCATCTAATGATTTTGAGAACGCCCAATGCACATATTGTGTGACAAGACCAAATAAGCAGGTATTTGGTTAGGAGCTTTAGAATAAAAACTGAGAGTTTGAAATAAATTATAGCGTTTATTTCTACTCACAACCGAGAGTTTACACACATAGGCTATATTTACAGTATCATCAGAGCCAGCCTACGTGAGTAACGTGTGAGATGTTGCAAGGTAAAATAGAGATTCTGCATGAGGATCCTCAGTAGTTATGGGCGGCTTTGGCGTGTTCTGCGAAGTGCGCTGCCTTGGCGGCGGCCACCTCGGGTGTGTCAGCTAGGTAGCCGGCAGGGGTAACCACAGGAGCTCCGTACACACTGTAGGAGTACGGGTAGGCGTAGGGGTAGTAGGGGTAGGGCAGAGGGACTCCTGCAGCTGCAGAACTAGCCTTGGCCTTCTCAGCGAAGTGCGCTGCCTTGGCCGCTGCCACTTCGGGAGTGTCGGCCAAGAAGCCCTCCGGAGTGACGACGGGAGTGTAGGGAACGACACCTCCGGCCTTGGCAACCTCGGCAAAGTGCGCTGCCTTGGCGGCGGCGACCTCTGGGGTGTCAGCCAGGTAGCCTGAGGGCAGCACCACAGGCGCAGGGGTAGGGTAGATGTGGCCGTACCAGGGGTAGTATGATGCTAGTACAGCCTGGGCCAAACAGATGGCAACGGCGACAATCATCTGGAACGGACGAACCCAAATAAATCTTACATCGTACAGTGGCAATTCATAAAAGTGTATAAAGGTGAGGAACCGGTAACTAAGGTTGGGAGTTCGACTCTTAGGATTTGCATGCATGATGCATATATCCCTCCCATGCATTACATGCCCGCTTTTGCGTTAACTTAACTATTGCTCATATGAATTGTTTCTTGCTGTCAACAACGGGGGCATTGTATAGACGAAATATTTAGGGGAACGGTCCAAATTCATAAGTTTTTACACGCATAAGGAAATTAACTCAAATTTAAAACATACTATGACAAAAACAATACGGTTGTAATTTTCTTATTTTACTGCTAACGTAATTCGTTTATAGTTTATGTATAATCGACCATGGCATAACAATTGTTTAGGTTTTGCATTGGTTCGTATTTGATAATAAGCAACATTACAGTAACAGTGTACGATAGTACATATTAATCGTGTCGGATTATTTTACTATTTCAAACATGTATGTATATATTTGTTGTTAAATGAATTAATATGTTTTATCTAAACAAGTAAAAAAAAAATATTTTAATTATGTTGGTCTATTTAAAAAATAGATTGTTTGTCCAACCGATAAATATTAATACGGGAATGTACAATTTTGAAAATTGGTAGGTGAATAGTTTTGAGTAGAACTGACTTTTTATCTATTAAAATATGTTTCTTGAATTTTGCGATAAACCTTTCTGCGGTGTTTTTAAATATACCACAGCTGTAGAGCTTGTATTGATTTAATCAACCGATTTATTATGCAATGGAAACCTTTCTTTATACAGGCTACTTCGCTGTGTGCATAGAACGTTTATTCTTTTTTTCCGTCAAGGAAATTTTATGTACAATAGTCTCTACTGTTCCTTTTTCTTAGCCTTAGGCATCTATGTAGTAGTATTACAATATCTGATATTGCAGAACGACTTTTAAAATTTTTAAATAAATCAAGGTTTTTTCATACCTTGTTAGCACAAAGTTGTTACCCTACCACACATGTTGCTGCTATCACATATGCTAGCTCAAATGTTCCTTTGTTTAATTCATTAAGATTTCATATCAAACAGTTCAAGATAGTCAGTTCCTAATGTGTTTGTGGGGATTCACTCTGATTTCAAAATTAATATATTCCGTTATGATGCAGGTAATTAACCTTTTAAATCTAGATTGGAGGTTTGTCTATCTTCTGTTACACATAATAGCATTAAGCTTTATATAAATCCACCTACAATAAACAAAATTCAATAATTTACCAATAAATTACTGTAAATAAATATGTAATGAGAAAGAAATACTGATATATAATATACTGGTTTGCAATTAAATTTTATAAAAATCTAATAGGACACAAAGGTGTCATGATTTTTACTAAGATTTATTTGGCAAAACCATATAATGTTTTATTAATTTATTTTATCTATACTTTAAAGCAGAAATATTTTACCAAAAATATAAACTATCATTATCAAAAAATTATTATTAGGATCAGGGTTAAAAGGATGTCCCGTAATATTAGTGCATATTTTGTTAAATAGGCACTACACTTTAATCATAACATTTTCTTGCAGGGCAAACAATTGTCAATAATTTCATTAATGTTGATATTATTGATATTGATCCAAATGAGTAATTTTTTTGTTTGATATCTTTAATTTATTATTGTACTGTTGGGTCTACCCCAGCCATTATAAAATAACACCAACTTTCTTAAAAATAATCTTTAAAAAATATCAAAATAACACAATACATCAGTTTAGAAGTCAAACAAATTATTACTCTGGTTATTTATTTTAATAATAAATAATTATTTAAATAGTCACTTTATACTGTTAAGTGATAACTCTCAACATTATATTTAATCTCACTTCGTTCCAACATGTACTTTTTGCAACTAAGCGTTTCAAAATCTCCGTATAAACAGGGGTAGACGTAATATTTTACTTATTTTAAACATATAAATCAACATGTTGTACTCACCAGGGACTGCATGGCGATGTCTAGGAAGACAGTGCACTTCACTCTAGTATTGTATCTATTGTATCAAAGTATATATAGATGCACTCAAGGCCACCAGCCTAGGAAGCACGTCTACGCACGTTGTTTGCTGGTTACATCAATGCGTCGATGCACTTTTTGTACCGTTGCACTCCTTACTTGGACCTAGCCCTGGTCCCTTCGTCGTTTCTAGGTAGAGTGCAATTAATCGTACGTGTTCTTCGTCAGGACTCCGTCGGTGGTCTAAATATGTGAAGAGCAATCGTCCCAATGCACACTTAGTAAAGAAGCTTATGCTTTTTACACTACTATCTGTGCATAAATACTACTTTTACCGAGATGAGGCTTAAATTGGTAGAAAAATTTAGCTATACAGCTAGTTGTGTGAGATCCTTGATTGCAATAAAAAAAATATGCACATACGATTGAAAACTTAGACGTACTAGTTTTTTCACTCAATAAAGCTATCAACTGTAATTTTATTATCGTTAATTGTTATCAGAGCTAAAAATCATTTCGACACTTTTTGATAGAGATTGTAGTGTTGTGGCTTTCACCTTAAAATGCTTATCGTGATCCAAAACAATGACAAAATTCCGAATCCCCATACAATTGGCACTCAACGATTAATCATGTTAATTGTATGACAACCGCTCATGTCAAATGTAGTATAATTTTTCAACCGCTGAATGTTAACAGTTGGGAGGTTACTCTATTGATGCCGATGTTTATGAGGTTGTGCCACTGAGCTACACTTATGATTGACTTCAAACAAGAGGTATTTTGTGTGATATTATTCATTGGCAATTTGTCTGAGCCAATGATAGGTTTCAACTTCCGGCGTGGTGACCAATCGCCAATGGTGGAGGTGTTGAATGGAGGGTGTGTTTGTTTAGTTGTATTGTAGAGGACAAAGACACAATAGATCACGTAGAGGTTTCAGGGTCAATACTTGCATACTTCATCGTCCGGTTGTACCCACTACTAATGAGGTTAAACAATGCCTAATAGAATAATGAGTTGTTTATGAGTATATTACAATATTAATATACACCATGTACCAACTAGTTTAGCAGCTAAATAAAGCAACCCTTGGATGCGGTGTTGTGTTTTATTTATTTCCTTACTAACTTTAAACAAATCATATACGACATGTTTATACATTACCTCTTGACTACTGATATTATAAATCAAAGAGTAAAAACACACAGTAATATTTACTCTGAAAGGAAATTATTTTGTAGACATCAATGAACTCAAGTTTTAATGGACTTCAGATGTACAACAAATTCAGACTTTACATTAGGGTGTAATGAAAGATATAACCAGTACCTTAAGTCAGTAAGTGACATTTACCCGTTCTATGTACACCGATGTATTATATTGTCTGTGGATGAACTCTCATAGAAATCGTATAGCTTCACCACTGCTGTTAAACACAATTGTTAACATCCTTCCCCATAACTTTATGGACGTTTCACTTCATAATCGACATCAATTCAATGGACATTCAATCACTCCTTCGGCCATCAAACACAGTTTAAGTAGTTAAGACTTGATATTGTATATGAAAACGTATATTGCTTGTAGAGTATTAGGCTATTTGTAGGAATTATTATAAAATCTCCATAAATAGAGCCGCAATATTTCTTATTTCCCCTATAAAATCTAGATTTTTGTTTTTGCAATTTGATGTTTTATATTCACTAGCCAAATGCTATAAGACCTATGAAAAAATTTTTATGAAGGAGTTTATCATTTGGGGATTACTGGCCGGTTTAAACTAACCCCTTATATTAACTGTACAAACTGTCCAATTTCTGTTTAATGATGTTATAGCCTACTAATATTTATTAAATGATTGATAATGACGGATCTCATAAATTGGTTTCTTTATTTACCTTAATAAATTTATGCCAGTTTCGTTGAAATATTCACCGTTTAATTAAACTACATAATACACAATACAACTTTAATGCTTTGAAATGTGTGCTGTAAAGGGTTTATTTTGTTTAAGGATTAAACTCGCACTCAATAAAATGTCAACTTCTTGTTTTAAGAAGCATCGGTAAATTTAAGTCAGCACACGTTTGTAACAAAACAAAGCAAGATCGTTTTAACGGACGCCAAGCCTTGCTTTAGTCTCAGACAATAGTCGGTTTGAATCTTGCTTCTGTTGCACTCCAAAAAGGGCAAAAACTGGTCAGAGGCCAGTGTTGACCGTGGCGCCGCCAGAGAACCATCGATCTCAGTTATTTATAGCCACTATTGGAGCAATTAGCTTACTAGCATTTGTCATTCGTCTTCTTTATCTAATTTACTACACCACTGTAGATTCCTGTCTGCAAATTTCTCATGTAATTTGTCTGTGTCTGCATGCATAGAGTTAAGATTTGAAAGTTTGTAGTGCTTTCCGATTAAAAATACAGTAACGACACTTTTCTATTAAGAAATATTCTCTGTATTATTTAGAGTTCAGGATCAAGCAAATAGGACGTTAATGTTGCCGGTGCCGGAAGATCGTCAGCTTACTTTTATGCTTCTAAGGACACACGTACCTGCCGAAGCTGTAATTCTTTACTTGGCTGAAGAGGATATAGTTCTCACACAACCCCAGTTAGGTTTCAGCCCACTGGAACTTCTCGAACACGTCACATGAATCAAGTAATTTAAATGGACCAAGTTTGGGTTTAGTAAAAACAAGAATAAAACATTAAAAAAGTGTTTGAAAATTACTTTATAATGTTATTGACTTTTGTTCATTTCAGGCAAACTTTGCTCGGGCCCCGGGGATGGTATACTCTAGAGCTGCCCAATTATTGTATTATTCGGCAAAAAGCTCTTTCATGATCCAACTTTAAACTGTTAAAATGCTATCTAATAGTTGGCTGGTAAATCTGTATATATAAACAGATAAAAATGTTTAAATCATTCTACACAGAAACAGGTACTTTTCCATCCGTAGGCCTATTGATAGGCTGGAAAGTGGCACTTTGCCGTGCCTACACATGGAAAAGTAACGTAATGTACCTTTTCCTACAGTCACCCGACAAAGTTGGCTACCTTGTACTGTTTATAGTACAGAAAGCTTCTAATTGCTGCATATTTATACTTTGCCGTACGGTTTATACTTTGCCGCACATCAGGATTCCAACGAAACAACACAAAACAGCGTGGTTCTATTATACACGTAATCCGTGTACGCTTGGAAATAGGTTGGCAACACTTTAAGATAAAAATACTATGAGCAGTTGATTGACTATTATAACTACGATTTAACTGTCATTTCGTGTTTATAGTTTCGGTATTTCTGAACTTTCTGGACTTTTCTTTTAAACGTTTTTAAAACATTCCTACTATCTTAATAAACAAGAAAATACCCTTAAAGCATTTCTTTAGGCACGGAAACCACTTCAAATTACAAAATCATACGGAACTATATTCTCAAAACGCGGAGCACAATTCTTGCCGAGGAAAAATAGCGGAGTGATACGGACCGTGGGTACTACTTTCTCTAGGGCACCATTTGTTTTGCCAGCTGAACCTCAAAACGTGTTGTATAGTGTTTGAAAGACTAATTAACTAATTATTTATATGCTTTATAGGGACTGTAGGAAAAATATAATGTGTAACACGAGTGAAAAAGGCCTTTGCTGCACTCGAGATCATTCCACACTCGCCTGCGGCTCGTGCGTAAACATTGCTCTCGTGTGCAGCAAAGTGCCACTTTCACCACTAGTTACACAAATAACTATTTCCTACAGTCACCCGACAAAGTTGGCTTCCTTGTACTGTTTATAGTACAGAAAGCTGCTAATTGCTGCATATTTATACTTTGTCGTACGGTATATACTTTGTCGTACGGTTTATAGGTACTTTGGCGCACATCAGAATTCCAACGAAACAACACAAAACAGCGTGGTTCTATTATGCACGTAATCAGTGTACGCTTGGAAATAGGTTGGCAACACTTAAAGATAATAATACTATGAGCAGCTGATTGACTATTATAACTACGAATTAACCTGTCATTTCGTGTTTATAGTTTCGGTATTTTTGAACTTTCTGGACTTTTCTTTAAAACGCTTTTAAAACATTCCTACGATCTTAATAAACAAGAAAATACCTTTAAAGCATTTTTTTTAGGCGCGGAAACCACTTCAAATTACAAAAACATACGGAACTATATTCTCAAGTCACGGAGCACATTTCTTGCCGAGGAAAAATAGCGGAGTGATACGGACCGGGTACTACTTTCTCTAGGGCACCTATTTGTGTTGCCAGCTGAACCTAAAAACGTATTGTATAGTGTTTGAAAGACTAATTATGTATATGCTTTATAGGCCTAGTGACTGTAGGAAAAATATAATGTGTAACACGAGTGCAAAATGCCTTTTCTGCACTCAAGATCATTCCTCAAGTAAACATTGCTCTCGTGTGCAGCAAGGTGCCACTTTGCCCACTAGTTACACAAATAACTTTTACCGTGCACTTAGTCAGCTAAAGAAATAAACAGCTAATTGCAACGGCCTATTTTATTTTCTGAAATATAAATATATTATAATTTATGTTATGTACTACTGTATATAAATTGTGTTATGATTTTAAAATCTAGCAATGTTCTGTGTAGTATTATTCTAAAGTATCGTACGTTACCCACATGGTAAAACACCACTTACCGGGCTAGTAACGTAACATACTATTACACACTTTTGCACATTTTGTAACCACCATGTTGGATGTATATTTAAAGGAAATAATTATTTGTGTAACTAGTGCGCAAAGTGGCTATTTGTTTAAATTTAAAATTAAAACTAGGTGTTTAAAGTGCAGCAAAGAGACTTTGCGTTCGTGTTATAGATTATATCCTACAGTTACTCTAAAGCGTATGAATAACAAATAAGTGTATGTATATATAGGTTAACTTTTACTATGCGGTTTCATATGTTACTGTAACGAATTCCAACCTAAATGAAATTTCTCACAAACAAATCAAAACCGAAATGAAATTGTTTTACAAATTAGCAAACAGATATCTTAATCTATATATTTAATATTAAATTTAAAACCTGATGAATCATAATCTGAGTACAACTTTTTATTTG